AGTGTTAAATAGAAATTGACACTTTCGCCGGAGGACTCGCATGATTTTCGGGGTTTCAAGGAAGCGCCGCATGCAAAGGCGACCTAAGGTGCATAGGGTCACGCCACACGCCCGGCCGAGCAGCCACTGCAGCTGCTGCTGAGATGCGCCCCGCTGCTGTAGCTGCGGAGGGCCAACTCCATAAGAGGCAACCAGCTGTTCCATTGCAGGGAGAAATTGGAGCAACGCCCGCGGGCATACGGCTTCCAGCTGCTGCAGACAAAACGCCAGTAGCAGTTGCTGCAGGGGTGTGGCATCCTGAGGTAGGATAAAAGGCACGAAGACTGCTGCGTCTGTATCGTGCACTACAACTGCTTCTCCACCTGCTTTACCCTGGGACACCACCGGCTGCTGGTGCTCTCTGGTGTCTCCCTGGCTCTGCTCCGCTTCTGCTGCAGGCACTGCAGCAGTGAGCTTCGAATACGGTAGTTCGTCGTATGCCGCAAGACGCGAAAGGCTCCGCATCAAAAGAAACCACATTCCATTTGTTGACAGCAAACGGTGAGACGGGACTACTTCCATGCAGCTCGCCAGCTCCCCCAGGGGATCACTGCTACACCAGCAACAAAAGCTACAGCAGCAGCAGCGGATGCACGGGATCACAGCGGCTGCATTGTTTAGAGCCTTTCGGCTACTAAAGCAGCAAATTTTGTCATGTTTGCCTGAAGGCCCCAAAATGTTTGTGGATTTGCAGAGCCACTGATCTGAACTCAGCGGTCGGTGTCCCTGCATCGTTTCTTCGTGAATCTTCTGCGTCTGTTGCTTCTGTACGGGCAGCAAGTCAAATAGTGCTCTGTAAACCGGAAGGACTGCCGTTTTATGGAGACCGAGAGAGGCAAGCGCCTGTAGAGACAGCGCAAACATTTTGCTGAGGCTTTCCAGTAGCTGGCGCCGTTCGGCTGTCACAGACGGCAGCTCAGCCGCGCTGGGAGCTAACAGGGCTGCACCAGCAGCCGCCAGAGCCTCGGCAGCAAATTCTGCATGTCCATCAAACAAGATGAATTCGTCTGGGAGTAGCGGGCTTCGTCGCGGCTGCTGCTCCCTAGGCCCATGTTTCCCCTGAATTTTCCATCGTAGCAAGGTGCGCACTATAGGGGATGTGGGCAGTCTCAACGCAGCAAAGTGCAGCGCAGGCAGAAGCTGCAGAGCCGCTGCAGGCGATGCAGCCACTAGTGCCCCAATTGTGGCGAAAGCCTGCTGCCGGTCGGCCAAGGACTCTGCGAGAAAGCAGCAAGCGAGTACGTAGGTGTAGGGCCCTTGCTGCAGCAAAGCACTTGGTAAGGAAAGTAGAAATGGTGTGCTGTGGATATCTTCGCTGTACTCCCTGTCAAGCATCATGTGCAGCAGCAACTGCCGCTGGCCTGCCGTTGCTCCAGCTTGACTGCCAGCAGTAGCTTGAGCCACCTCAAGCTGCAGCTTGTTCTTCAGGTGCGGCCGAGTTGTTGCAGCAAAGACTTCTGCGCCCAGCAGCTGCTCTGCTGCGCCCCTGTCGAGAACGCGAAAAGACCACAGGGCAAGTGAGAGAGGCATAGCAGCCGCTGCATCACTGGATAGCAACACTGCGCCTGCTAGGCCAAAAAGCTCCGTCACATCGAACGACGGCCCACAGGCCCCACTGCAATTGCAGTGCTCTTCTTCAGCCGCTGGTGTTCCTGTAGCAGCGACTGCCGCGGCAGCAGCTGCTGCTGCTGCGCAAGACAGTAACGCACGTAGCCGGGTGCAGGTCTGTTGCAGGGCGTCGATCAGCTGTTGTCTGAGGAGAGCCCCTCCAGCTCCACCACCGAGTTGCTGCTGTGTAACCAGTGGCACCAGCAACTGTACGAGTGGTGAGAAGCAACAGATGCATCGTAAGGCCTCTGCAGTGCAGAGGCAGGACGCGCAGCATCCACTTGTCCTTCTAGTGGTGCTGCTCTCGCTACTACCGTCATGTGCACGTACGAACTGTGGTTGCAGCTGCAACATACGGTGAGTGGCCTGCAGCAGCAAAGAGAGCTCTTCTGAGTTTGCTTCGTTTGCTGCGGTGCTCCACAGCAGCCAGCCAACCAACGCACAGGTGACTCGCCAGAGTCCCAATGAGAGGCAGGTTCTACTGTAGTGGCTGCTGTTGCTGTCACCGCTGCTGCCGCCCGAAGAAGCCGCAGATATCGGAGTCCTTGAGGGCGAGAAGAGGTTGAGGCAGCGCAGCAGCTGCCGCAGCAGGGCCGTCACGTCTTGCAGTTGCTCTCGAGCCGTGTAGAGACCGCAAACACACTCCCACAGCAGGCGATCTGCACGTGCCTGCTGCTGCTGCTGCAGCATCAACCACTCCCCGGTGCCACTGACCTTGCTCTCACTCTGGAATGCAGCAATCATAGTAGAAGACATCTCAGCGCTCCTCAAGGCAGCAGATAGACAACAGGAAAACTCCTCAGCGTCTGTCACTCTCATCAGTGCAGACAAGCTGAGGTGCAGCAATCTGTCGCTCGCCATGCTCTGGTTCTGTTGTCCGGCCTGGCGCTGCTGCTGCTGTGCATGCTGCTGTTTTGCAGTCTCCTGCATCTCTGCTTTCCCCACAACCTCTACACAGCGCAGAAGACGATTAACTGCAAGGGGAAGCAGGGAGCAAGTTGTGAGGCTGCTGCTGCTGCAGCTGAGGAGCAGCTGCAGAGATGTCAGTAAAGTTGGCTCGAGCAGAGTTGTGAACGTGATAAAAGGGACGCTCTGCAGCGCCCTGCCACTGTTGCTACTGCTCTCATCGCCGTTGCCGCTACTTCTTTCTGCTGCTTCTTCCAGGACGCAAGACACGGCTTCCACAGCGGCAAGGCATACACGGGGACAGAAGTGGCTTATCCGGATGAGTGCATCACGGAGAACGGCTGCCGCTTGCTGTAATCGCACCAGTAGTTGCTGCTGATCTTCCTGGTGCGATGCAGGCACCAGCTTATCTTGAAGTGCAAGCTTTAGGAATCGCTGCACAAGCAAAAGCTGCATTTGCGGTGGCAGCAGTTCCTCTCTGCTGGCTCTGTTTCTGCCTCCGATGTTCCTGTTATGGATAGTAAGCGCCGTTCGGTTGGTCTCTGCAGCAGCAAGCCTCGCATGCAGTAAGTCAATCAACTGCTGAGGTGCTATTGCCCCATCAGCAATAAGATCTGTGAGGCAGATAAGAGCCTCACTGCGGCAAGCACTCCGCAACTGCTCCTCTGCCGCGGCAGCCGCTGCAGCAGCAGCGGGCTGAACAGCCGCTGCTGCTGCAGGTGGCTGGAGGAATGCCGCACAGGGTAACTGGTGCTCCTTATTGAAAGCGACAGCCATAGCGGCAGCATTCTCTCCCTCAGATTCAGCCACCGAAAGGGTTCCATGCTCGAGAGCGAGCAGTAGCAGCTCTAGGGCGACCTGGCGCTCTTTGTGAAGATGGCTAAATTTCAGCAGCAGTGATTTGAGTTTGTGTAGACCGCTGCACCGCACATGAGCACTGGGAGCCTCCAGGGTCTTCACTGCCTTTTTCGCCTGCAGTGCGAAGGGACCATGACGCGCTGCTGCAAGGAGAGCCGCAGTGCGGCACGAGAGGGAGCTGCTGCCCCAGGAGGCCCCTCCAGTGCCCTGAGTGCCCTGTGGCATTTTAATGTGGGTCTATCTGGGGGCAGTGGTACTGCGAGCTGCTGCTGCTCGTCCCCCTGCTCGCCAGAATGGCAAGGGCAGGTTAGATAACCACTGTGCGCCCAGATACAGGTGCGTGCAACGGCACCTAAGTAGCATGACGCCGCAGGTTTTACAGCGCTACAGCGTCATAAGTGCTACTGCTGCAGTGTCCCACATAACCAGCCAGGAGAGGAGCCGATGAGGCACGCTGCAGCCGGTCAACGGACGAGGATTCAGGGGAAGCTCATTACAGCTTTTACCGCACGCAGGGATTCGCACGTTCTGGTGAAAAGGCGGAAGCGCAGAAGAACAAATAAATGCACGAATATTCGCAAGCAAGACCTGGACACCCTGGGACTATAAGTGAAGAGCGGGGCCTCACCGCCGACACATGCTACGTCTCTTGATTTACAGACTCGGGAATGTTTTACAGTGGCCAGCAAGGAGTTGGTAAGAACAAACTGCGAAAATCGACTGATAATATAGCAATATTAAATACTGATTGATTAAATAGTGCCGCAAGGCGCAGTAAACTCCTCCTAAACAGACAAGCTATCAAGGACATGCTGTGGACCTCTGTCTTCAAGCCAATTGCAGCTGTATGCTTCTCTGCCAGATGTCCTGTGGCTTCTCTAATGCACCGTATCCTGTTCTTGTTCTTACAGTCAAGCCGTCTACAGATCCTACTTGAAAGGGATGGTGCTAGGGGCTGCCTCTAAGGTACATGCTTAGTCAAGCTGTCCAATGTGCGTGACTTTGCTTGTACCGAGTGTGTGGCTGTATGCCCAGCTTGGGCAGCAACAGATGAGCTAATTGTGAATTCTGCTCGGCTGCACGGTACAGACTTGGAAGACCATTGCGGAGGCTTGCAGTCCCGCGCCACAATGCAAAAGGAACGTGGCGGAGCAACGCTGCAACTAGGAGCATAAAGTCCTCTACCGCGTATCAAGGTACAATCTATGTGTCTGGAATGTTCGGACTAGTTTACTATCGCTTATGCCTTCTTTGAAAACGCGATGAATAAATGGTAAGGATAAGTGAGTGCCAGAAATGGAAAAATTTCGATAAGGCCGCAACGAAAGGCAAAGCCGCTCTTAGAGCCTCGTTGGACGGCTGGAGTAGCCTCTTCTGAGACCCTCCTTGCTCCTAGATCCCTCTAAATCTGCACGGTCGTCCCTAATAGGACAACCCTGGCGCATGCTCTACATGCTGGACGTATTGTATCCCGCGAAGCAGATGCAGACAAATCTAACAAACTAAAGAGACAAACATCGCGTGGGAGGAGAGGCAGTAGGGTTGTTAGTATTTCCCCTCCAGTTGCCCCCGTCTCCTTCAGTTGACCCCTACGCGTCTTGGGGGATAAGAGGGCGCTGGATGTCCGACCTCGAGCTCTCAGACAGCTGCTGCCTTTCAGCTGCGCGGCTTCTCTCTCTGTGGTGGGCCTCCCAGCGTCGGAGCACGAATGCGACGAAAAACAAAGCACAAAGAAGCACAACAGCTGCAATTCCCAAGAGCGTGAGGTTCGTGTTTGGGGCGCTGTTGAGCTCGGGCATAACAGCTGCAGCTCCTGTGCCTTCATCCCGTTGTGAGGCATCCTCTACTTTATCATCCGTATCTCTCTGCCCGGTGATGGCGTTTCGCCACTTTCGCCATTCCCAGCCCTGTATTAAAGAGGGAGGGCGTGGACTGTCTTCCGCTTCGGTGACTTGCTGCGTTTTTGTGTTTCCAAAAAGAGACTCTAATAAACCATTACTGGGTGGTACTGTTGTAGTGGTAGTCGTCGTGTCTCCCCGTGAGAAAAACCAAGATAGACCGGAAGATTCAATCTTATCTTGAAGATCCTGAGGAGGATCCTCTTTGTTCTGCATGCGCTTCATAAAAGAGCCCCACGAATATTGTGCGGATTTGCGATTGATTTCAGGGTTGGTGGAAGTAGTGGTAGTAGTCGTAGTTGTTGTGGTCGTGGTGGTTGAGCGGAATTGCTCTGCAGGAGGGGTGCCAGCCACAACCTTACCTGAGCTGTCAAGACAGCCAGGGAGAGTTGTATCAAGCCACTTGGACTTGCAGGAAGCGTGGCAGGACCGTTTGTTGCTGTAGTCGTAGGAAGAGAGACCATGGGGCAGTTCGTCATGCGTTTCTGCAGCGTCTGCCTCTTTGGGCGCCTCCCCGTTGCATTGTCGGATACAGTCTCTGAAAGGAGGAAAGGGATCACAGTCCAGTGGTGGTCCCTCCTTGTACACTGCAGGAAGGAAGTCTTTAGCCTCAGTTTCGGGCTCCTGTGCTCCTGGGAGCTCAGCATTTTCTAGCTCAGCTTCAGCTTTCGGCAGAACGCTGCTGCCGAGCCACGCGGCACTGTCAGTTGGCCTCAGGTTAGCTTTAGCTTCTGAGGGAAGGAAAGTGGGAAAAGACGTATCTCTTCCTTCTTTCGTGCCATCTGTTGCGGCTGTCTCAGTGCTGGCCGCCTCTTTGAGGGCAGTCTCTATCATTTTTTCCGCGGGAGCGCCGAAGCCCAGAAGCCTCTTAGTCGCGTCGAGGATAGAATTGTTGTTGCTTTTCTCCGTGCAGTCACACGGAGCCCCTTGGGCTGTTTCGGCATCGGCAGAGCAATCACAGTTTCGCATTGGTGATGCTTCCTGTGTCTCCGTCTGGGGGTTTTGCTCTTTAGAGTTTGCCCAAGGCCAGAGAGCGCCGAGCAAAGGTTTAGATGCGTTGGTGCTCAGTATTTCGATCACTGCGTCGGCTTTATCGACTCCGCGCTGTGCACCGGAGGAGACCATGCCTGCTGTGTCTTGCAATGTTTCCGCCGCGGTGGAAGCACTGCTAGCTGCTTCTTCGAGACGCTCCGCAGCATTCCTCGCTGCGTTCGAGGCGTTTTCTGCTGCCTCTTTGACTGTGTCTGACCCTGTATGCAGCATCCCGCTAATGGCATCTCCCCAGGAGGCCAGAGCAGTTTTGGCTGCCTCGGCAGCGCTCTGCACCGTCTTGACTGCCTCTCCAGCTCTATGGGATGTTTCAAGAGCAGCTTTAATGGCGGATTCCGCAGCTTCCTCTGACCGCGATTGCACCTCATGTCCTAAAACTTCGAGAGTGTGTTTCGCCTCTCGGGCTGCTGTGTTGGCTTTCTCTGCGGCGTCAACTGCAGCCCGACGCGCTATCTCAGCCGCCACAGCGGCCTTTGCAGCAGTCCTGGAAGCAGATTGAAGCGTCTCGTTCGAGTTGCTTTGCACCTCCTCACGGACACGGTCGGCCCAGGCAAGAACGGCAGACTTGGCGTCTTGGGCAGCAGATGACAGGTCCCTAGCTGCTTCACCGGCGGCAGACGTGGCCTTCCTCGCTGCCTCGTACGCTGCATCTGCTGCAACTGGGGCATTTTCTTGCAGAAGCGCACCCAGGGCGTAAAGGCCCTTCTTGGCTTCCCGTGCTGCTCCTGATGCTGCCTCTGCTGCGTCGCGGGTGACCTGTTGCGCTGCCTCTGCAGCTTGATGTGAGGTTTCCCCATCCCACCAGCCCCAGGCTGTTTTCCGTGCCTCCTGTGCTCCGTAAGTAGCCCCCTCGATACCCTGGTGGGAGGCCTCCGCCGCTTGCCCTGCTACGTCGCTTGTCACGCCCGTGGCGGAGGTTGCGGCCTGCCGCAGTACACGAGCCAGGCCTGTAGATGAAAAAAGGTCGGAGCTCGCCTCAGTAGAGCCAAGGCTTTCTGGAGTGTCACGCGATGAATGACCGCCGAAGAAGCCGCCGCCGAACAAAGCGGCAGCAGCGACATCCCCACCAGCCGAAGGTCTACTAGATGGAGGAGCTTCTTCCCGGCGAGGGAAGAGGTCTGTGAAAGAAAAAGAGTCGGCTTGCAGAGGGCAGCTTTTTAGAGCCAGCAAAATGCCGAATAGAACGGCAGCGCCGCCGCGCCAGTTGAGTCTGGCCGTCATGGCGAAGTGTCCGAAGAGTTAGCCCGCGCGGCTTCAAACTAGCTATGCTTCTCCCCAATACACTTAAGCTGTAGTAAAAGTAAAAAAGGAGAACGGAGGCCAGGCTACGGGACACTGGAAAGCATGCGACAGAGTTTTTGCTGCGCCTCTGTCGGTTGCGGCACTCGATAGAAACAGCTCTCCTGTTGGCGACAAGGGTGTCGCCGCGGTTCTAAGGCCAAACAGAGTCTCAAAATTGCCATTTAAAAAAGCACGCGTGGTTTAGTGTAGAATGTGTAAACTTGCCCAGTCCGCTACTAAATGCAGGCCAGCTAAGGGATGAAGCTGGTGCGGTCCCTTGACTTAAGCGGCTGGTCGGCGCCGCCCTACCAGTGGCTTTCTCCGGCTTCTGTCTCTTCAAAGGCTCTTCTCAATAATAAAGTCTAAATTTCCCCCATTTCCCAGTACAATGACTGTTAATTGACTTCGTGGAAATGCCAGATGTTGGTCGGCGCTTTTTTGGTGCTGAGGTGAAGCGCTATGCGTAGTTGACAGTGCACGGCGATCCCGCAGCGGTTATCCTCCCGCACAAAGGCAGACGGAAAAAGTGTCTGTAGTACAAGAAATATTTACATTCCAACACTCTGTTGATGTGCTTATCAAGATGCAGCAGTAAGCGCCGCCACGAATATATGCAGGACCCCCTACACACAATGAAAAACGGCTCTACCGCAAAACTTTCGAAACTGACGCAACTCACAAATTGGAAACAAGTGTCCTGTTACTTTCATACCTAAACAAATAAAATGCTGGGAGGAGGAAGCTAATTATGGCTTGAAGCTAACAATACTGACATTCATGGTCCCACGGGCCCGCTTATGGGCGCACGGATACATTTGCTCGTTGACGAAGACAGAGGGAAATCGTACCTTACGCTCCCAAAGACACCATTCGAACAATCTTATACGGTCGGTCTCATTCAGACGGCCTTGTACGCCAATCCTGATGGTTTCTTCATTTCTCGCCAGCGACACTACAAATCTGCAACAGAAGTTAAGCTCGCACGAAGCATCGTCTATCGTGTCACTGACAACAAAGAAGCATGATCTTTGGTAGCCTGCATCAAATAAAGGAGAATCACGGATGATATGAATTACACATAAATGGTGCAAAAAGAGATCTAAGGATGGCAGATCCTCCATATGCCAGCAAGTGGACAAGATCTACTGGCTGATGATGCGAAAGGACCTTCAGAGAAGGCAGTAGAGAAGCTTAACCAAGAACTACAGAAGAAACTATAAGACTTTATTGTGTGGAAGCGTTACGACGAAGGATATGTTCCACGTAGGGCAAAGTAAGGGTTTCCCCTGTCTGCAGGTGTAGATTGTGTCCCAATGGATGACCCGAGATGCTGAGGGAATTGCCAACAAGTGAGTGCTGGGGTGTGCTATTTAGTGTCGACTCGACAGCAGATATTCGATTCGAGATAGTTGACGACACTTGTGAAGCCTTTTTGAGTACTTGTAAATCTCGTAGCATTGTTAGCCCGATACTTCTAAAGCAGCCACCCCCTAGGGTGCCGGGGCTCACTGCAGCTTGCGTATCCAGCGTGGCCAACGGTGGAATGCTGCATATCGAGCACGCTGTTACAGGAATAATAATGCAGTGCAGTTGTGAATGGCCTTTGGTTGGATTCCAATTTGGACCAAATTACTACAACCTGGTCTTGGGACTCAACTGGCGTGTACGACGTAAGGCAGCCTGGACTTTTCAGTCTGACAAGCTGAGACCCTATGTGAGTGAGACAGCGTGGGGAAGTCGTGGGGTGCACTAGCGAAACGGAAAAACAGGACGGTACGCCAGGCATGGCACGACCCAAGGTTTCTGCAAAGGGGCCCTACGGCGCATCGTCGATACAGGTGCTACGTATGGTGGCAGAATGGACGCCAGCTCTCCTACGCCCACATTTTTTAGCAGTACAAGCGCTATGGAAGGGCAGAAAAGAGCATGCGGAGCGGGGAGTTAGTTCGGCAGTCATGTGCAGTTTTTGATCCTCTAAATAACCCAGAGCAGGGCTAAACCTTTCACTGGCTGTCACTGACTCGAACGCCGGGTCCGCCCCTCAGCTCTGTGAAGACATGCAGGATCTGCTGCTGCTTGCATTTGGGTGGCATAATGAAGCAATCCTCCAAACACCCGGCCTACCGGCTGTCTGGGAGTCAAAGCATGCTGAAGACGATGACCAGCCAACGTGGCCTGACGCCAAGCAAGTGCATACTGTGTGTGATGAACGTCTCCAGACAGTAAAAGCCTAAAATATTGACTGAAAATCTCTACCTATTACGTAGACACCTAGCTGTCTTCATCTATACCATGCCTGGCCAACGCCAAAGCGCTCCTGTCACAGCCCTGCCTTAAAGGTGCCCATCATTTTCCCGACACATCTCGATATCTATTTCATGACACCCCATCAACTCAGCTTTCGCAGAAAAAATGTGTGTCGTTGGATCTGCCTCCCCCACTCTTGTGTGTGCACCAGGGCTGAAAGGCTTGACAAATACAGTGATTGCATTGGCAAGCGGAAGATGAGCATTATTGTTTGCTAAATGTTGTGTGCCTTTGTGACTGTTTTTAAATTCCGCATGACACCTGCCTCAACAAAAGTGAACATGGTGAGGAGGAGCCAAATATTTTTCTAAAATTATAATACAAACAAGCTTCCATTGGGGTTACGTAGCCAAAGAGGACCAGCAGAAGCGTCTTATTCGCTCGATCCTGCGGTTATTCGGGTGCGTTCTAATGCTAATGCCTTTTGGCCGCGATCGTGAGCCAGTTTCCTTCGAAAGCAGCTTCAGTACGTACCAGGAGATTTCCGTGCGGTGCGTATGCATATCACCCGCACTTTTACACGAGCGAAGTGCTTGCATACTACTCAGAAGTCTACCGGCAGGCTTGCCTACGGAGGCAACTTCTGAGTGCCTTCGTCAACATTCATGTTTTGAAGCAGTTCAGCAAGGCAAGCTTACCAGACAGAAATCTGCCTACGCCTGGTATAAAACCTACGCATAGGGTACAAACCACGCTGCAGGCAAGATACCCAGCAGTACCTTTTGGCGCAAAGTGCAAGCAGCTCTCGTGGCACGGTGAACTATTGCTGCATGTCGAGACCGGGAATTCTGTGATGCCAAAATCCACTTCGCCTACCTTACCCAGAAGGGCGTGGCCTTCCAATGGGCAGATGTTCACAGTCACCCGGTACAAAACCGAAAATAGCCCTTTATCGAGTACATAATTCAGGCTTTCGAGAATGTTGACCTTTTCATGCTGTACAATGGCGTCTTCTGCTTTGATATAGGCGCAGTCCTCGAACAGAAAGATAGGTCCACTGCCAAGCAAAAATTTGGGATTGTCAGCAGCGCTCACAGGGTCCGGGCAACCTAAGAGGCCTAGCTTGTGCATCCTTTAAGTGGAATGCATATTGTATACGTGTTGGATTAAGTTTACGCAGCCTCCCAATGCTGTTTCCGTTGCCTGTTGTGGCGCGCAGCACTGCCTGTGGAGCTGGATGCAGCTTCCACCAAGGGAAACGCTGGGGTTGCACAGTAGTCCAGATCGAGGGGAGTCTGACCTGAACGCATTATTAAGACGCCTGGACACACCATGAGGCCTCGCCTAAACCCGGTCTGCATGAGACGTCATACTAGGATCACCGAATGAAGCTGTTCTGGAAAGCAAAACTTTCCCTTTCCTCAAGATCAACTGGCTGTGAGCAGCGTTTAAAACCCTTAAACATCGAAAAATAAGTTTCACGCATTTTGAGACACTAAGTGGGGCCCTTGACGCACAAGATGTGAGCATGTGCCTGTGGAACCTTGACTGCTGAAGGCTGAAATTTGCAGACGGTACGCTTATATTTCCAGCGAACATCCATGTTATGCTGTATGTGTACATCTCCATTGCCAGGGATAACTGATCAGCGCAGTATGTGTTTGTGTTGCACAGCAGCGACCGTTGGGAAATTCCTTGCACACCGCGCCCTATGGGCCATCGTGCCTTGCTCTGAGGCGAGTGCATCCACGTACTGCCTAAAAGAAAGAACTTTGTATTATCTTAGGGAAACGCAAACAATCAAAGGAAGTGCAGTGGCTACAACTCACTTTATCGGTTGCAGACTACAAAGGTGATTCTAACTCAATATAGACCCAGTGACTGATCAATCAAAATCCCGATGAAGTATGGCGAGCATGAAAAAAGCATAAAACATGAAGCTGGGGGGTTGGTTGGTATTTGGGGGAGCGGAGCCGAGTGTCGTATTCCAAGACGATCAACAGCGAGTCGCCTAGACTTCTATAACGACTACAGTTTTAAAAAGTATGACATGGTGTCAGGCATGGTTCTCCTTCGGAACCGTCTGAAGTGCACAAAGTACCCTTCCTGCAGCCATGCATGGCATCGAGCACCCGCTGCTTTACCGTTTATCACGAACAAATGCCTGTGTTTCGCAACAGAATGTTTTGCTATGCAATTCTGCGTTATGAATGGTAACTATGGCTCGCACTCTAGATTAGGATGTAACGTGAGCTGTAAGAAAGGAGAACGCAAGTTGCCCACCCCATTTCCGTGGTCAACGCACTGCTGGACCCTTAATTGAGCGCCGTAATTGCTCTGATCTAGGTATGGGACCTGACTGAACAAAAAACGTCAAATTACACGCATTCAAATGTACAGGAATGTCCGAGATTATCGAACCGGTACTTCTCACTCACAGGCGCCACCCTCGGTAGAGGATCTCAGCCAGCCCCATAACAAAAGCCCATGCCTCATTATGCTTGTTTGAGCACTGGCCAGACCCCGCAAACCACGACAGCATAGCCTTATGGAGTTTTTCCGACTCTTTGTAGCGCATAATGTGACTAGTCTGAGCGAGTTATGCGCTCACTGTAGCCCTTAGCACTACTGAACCTCCCCCCAGATCCTTCCCTCCGCGAGTCAGTCAAAAGGCGCCCAATCCCCCACAAATGCGGCGGAGAAAAGAGCTCGAAAACTGGACAATCTAATTGTTCAGAGCCACTAAGAGGGTGTTCTATATCATTATTTGCTGATCTGCTCGCCTGTGAGCTGAGGCGGTACTTTCATCCTGGTCGAACCTACAGCGTCCTGTCTCCCCTTGGCGGTTGGGCAGCCCGATCCGCACTGCAGCACCTGCCGACCTCCAGCCTAAAGAGCTGGTTTGCAGAGCGGCACGTTGCTGCGGCGACTCAAGGCAGTATGATGACGTGCAGTGTAACTGTAAACGCCCACTGTCCTTTGAGGAGTGAAGTATGAGGCCAGACGCAGCCACTTCAAGCTCCAGCCCTCTTACGGGCCTATCCGAAATTGGAAGGGAAACTGGAAGAGGCCATACGAAGCGCAGGAACGACCGCAACAGCCGCCAGCTTGCTCGCCCACTGCGAGTCTCCCGCGCCCTCATACTCCTTATCGTAGCATGTTGCCATGATTGGCTCTGGTGTCAACGGCACCCCACGGATCCTTTTAAAGGGACAAAGAAATCGTCTTCGGCAGTCTATTCATGGGCGGCAGAAGCGTCTACGGTCTTCGACGGCCGTTTCCTTGGACGGAAAATAGCCACGGAGGCACTCCGGCAGTCCCCAGTGCCCCGCACTCCAGAGAAGCAGCCCATGAATGATGATGACTTTCTGGAGGATGAAGAACCCATGGAAATATGGGGAGATATCGATGACAGGAGGTGAGGGATTTTCCGCTGAGAATGGTTCACACCGCCGCCTTTACGATTTGCTGCGCGCTACGTTGCTGCGCCTGAGCTGTGTCTTCTGCATGTTCGTTTCTTTGCAGGATGATCCTCTCCGCTGCCCCGTGCCCGTGTGCGGCTGCGCTTCGTCAGGCCTTTAACGCCGCCCTCCGGATTCTCGTTGATCGCGGCGTGCGGAATCAGTTGTTGCTAAAATATAGGTTACCTCTTTCTTTTGCTGTGGAGCTTCAAGGGGCTAGCCCCGCATGGCCAAAGCTTAGCGACCTCTATGAACACGACTTACTACGGGAAGTTTTAGAGCGACGCGTCCTGCGGGTGGCGACTGTGGCCGGGGGAGCTTCTCAAGACCCCGCAACATCATCTTTTAACAGTAGCTTCCTGCGCGAAATCGTAGATGAGATCGATTCGCACTACTCAGAAATTGAAGGACTCTCCGAGTCCACTGGCCGGAGGGGATCTCTGCCTATTCAGATTGAATATGTATATAAGGCATCTACTGCTGTCGTACTGCAGGCGCTGGATGCCGGGCAAGCCCACATGACAGATATCAACATGGTCCTAAGTCACAACCCCTTCAACGGGATCACAATGACATCAAGATACAGCCGGTCAGATCAGGTAATGACACAGTCCACTATTGTCATTGTGAAGAGCGACACAAACATCGCTAGTTTGCGGGCTCTTCGAGACTCAATTTTCCTGTCTTATGATCAAGAGGGTCGCACAGTGGTAGTAGACAGTACGTGGAACCACCAGAGCTTAGCTCGCGTCCTCCCCCCCTTTACTATCTATGAACTACTGTCGGACGGCGCACCGGGGTCACATTTGATCGATGTACTCATGGATGAGGAGGCACTGGCAGCAACAGCGCAAGTACCGTTGCCGTGGATCCACTATGGCCTACGCCAATTCGTTGCAGGAGCAACGTACGCCACAGGGGCACTATTCCTTATGGACAAACACGGTAGCAAGTGTCCCACTGCAGCAAGCGGAAAGAGGAACCCCGTACGCCCAGCTGCACCGGATAAGCCTGGGGAAGACCCAGCGCTGTCCTCATTAAGGAGAGAACTTACAAAGAAAAGTCTTGGTTTCCAGAGGTCCCAACAGTTTTACGTGGGTAGTCGAAAATCTTCATGGGAGGGTGTTTATGGAGCTGATACGCCTGGAGGCCCCACAGATGGCGAAGACTCCTACCCTGCCACTCCAGGGCCTTGGAGCACGGAGCCATCGACGCCGGTGGGGGAAATGGAGCTGTTCGACAGCCTACGCGGAGACGCCGGGGAGCCTCTGGCATCTGGCCGGCGATACTTGCGCACCCGTGCGCTGCACGATTCGTATAACGCTGCTCTCGTGCAGCTTGTGCATAACTCTGTGCTAGATAACCTCATTGAGGATCTTCAAGAGATAAACATTGTTCCTTTCTTTGACTGTGGCGGGACTGTGCCTGGATCTGTAGCCCGGAGCTTTCCTCCTGCCCACAGAATTCCACCAGATGATGCCCTTATGGACATCTTACGTACTGGCGTGGTGCTCGTGGGAATGCCCATGGGAAGCAAAGAATCGATTTCAAGTCCTGAAGTGCTGTATGCCCAGCGCGCGATGACGGAGGTGGTGGCGGCGATAGGTGCAGAGTATCGTGTGACCCTGCAAACGCGATTCATTCGGTTTCCTAGTGCCCAACACGTGCTGAGGGCGCTCCACAAGGGGCTGATTCACTTGGCGGATGCTCGAATTTTGTTTGAGTATATCTCCCCTCACGCTCGTCTTGGGTTTAGGGTGAGACCTACGTGTGCCTTAGGTGCTTCACGATTGTGGATGATGACTCAAAACAAAGATGGCATGACGTCTCTGGAGGGACTTCATCAGACCTTAGAGAAGATCGCCGATGTCAATGATCGTCGTATCGGTGTCCTTGATCAGTATTTACAGAGCACAGTTGCTAGCGTCTTGCCACCGGGGGTTTTAGTGGTAGAACTAGCAGTCGAAGAAGCAGCAGAAGCGCTGTTGTCTCGCGCTGTCGTGGCTGTTTTTGGAATGGCAACCCAACAGCGGCGACTGTTGCGTTCTCTCTTGAACGTTGAGAGGAGGCCAACAGACCAGGATAATCATGCGTGGGAAAAAATGCCTCAAGTCGCAACGTTTGATTCGAGGAGCGAATTGCGCTGGGGCTCCCCTATTCATACTCCGGGATCTGGGTCTTTCCCTGATGCTTTCCCTGATCGTAGTCGACTCCCCTCTGATCGATTTACCCCAGGAGGCCCAGACTGGACTCCGGAGGACGGACCGGGCTTCCCGTGGCATGTTGCCGCACCACTGCAATACACAAAAGACATCTATCAAGAGCTCATGAAGGCAGAGGGCCTTCCACTAGAAACAAATGAAGCTCCCCAGCAGAACACGCCATCATGGATTGATATTGACACAGGCGTCACCGCTGTCATGCATTCCTTTCTCGCGGCATCTTTGCGTTCACCGCGCACGAGCCGATAAAGGAAACACTTTGTGCAAAGAAAGCATGCGCCGAGGTCTCAAAGTTGTCAATCATCGTCCACCTGAACCATTTGAAGAGAAGACTTGCGCCGCTGAGGGTGACGAGAAAGCCACAAAGGTGCTTCCTCGTCGGTTTTACATGCGTGGCTTCACCTCAGCTGGAGCCAAAGACCAGGGTCTACTGTCCATGAACTTGAAAAAGCCCACCGTAAGGCTGAATTTGGACAGAATCGAGATACATTTTACTCAATTAATATATTTTAACTAAAAAAGTATGCTGAAAGACTGAAGTCTTCGAACCGCCCTAAATGAGTTCACGTGTAGAATTATTTTTTGAACGCGATGTAGGAGCCATTATCTTCTGGAGGGGTGGACTCCACCCCTATGGTATATCCTTCAGCAAGTCAGACACGCTTCTCTATGGATTTTTGCGTGCCAGCAGCTCAGGCTGCAGGCAGGCTGCATCAGTTACACCTGAAGCCAGCAACTGATTTGGATTAGAGGTTCTAAGTTAGCTGAGCTGCAGGGTCTGTCATTTCGCGAGTGACCAGTGTGCACAGGGGAGTTTCGACAAAATTTACCCTCTGCGGATGGCCTCGGGTAGGCAGGTGACTCAAGCAGTTACACCACGTACACGGATAAGCAGCACGGCTAGATGCACACGAGGGATGGCGTCAGTAGCTGGCATTTGCTTCAGTGGGGAAGGCTTCCTCAGAGAGTGATGCCAGTGCAACTCTACTTCAGCTGACGTTCTGCGTAGTTCCACCGCATCACCAGGAGGCGAAAGAGGGACTGACAAAAAGGTAGGCGGCATCACTGGGTTGTGGATGTACCAAAGAGTTCTGCACAGCGGAGAGAAGCTGTGACGGCTGTAGGGATGGAAATTGGCGGGAAGGGGTTGTCATGGGAATTGAGAGACGACGGCTTGTGAGAGAGCTATGTGTGTCCTCCGGTGTTGTACTGATGAGTGGATTTGTAAGTTGGTCCTTAATTTCGTCTGCTGTGGGAGGGACTGATGAACTTGTTCCCTCTCCTACTGCGTGAAGGGCATCTCGAAGGACTGCGTGAGGTGCATTGTCAACCCCTTTCTCGCCCCAAAGTTCCCACTCCGCCAGACGCGAACCCGACATATGGTCCTCAAAGATAATACTTGCTGCACCACAGCAGGTGCACTCCGTAGAACTCTACACTTTCCGTGCCATTGCTCAACAAATGCCATTTTTAGGGACAACACCGATGTGACCTCCAGGGCGTTTTAACTTCACGGCACAGCTGCGTCGGCATTGTCTGTAAAACAGTTCATTTTCATTGGATTCAACGCAGGCCCATGAAAAGGCGCTCACTGGAGGTGACGATGAGCCTTCGATCTGAGGAAAGAAAGAGTGTAGCGGTGCTCCGGTCCCTGCTGGCCTCCCATCCAATAACGTCGTGGCGATATTTGACGGAGAATCCCTCAGAGTCAAATGCCTGCAGGAGGGGCGTATTCGGCAGCAAGTGCAGAAGTCGGTTGCCAGGCTCTCAAGAATATTGCGTTGTGAACAACAATGTACACTACAGTGCAGCCTTGCACCTAAGGAACTAACGCCTATGAGTGTTTACACGCAAACGTAAAGCTGGAAAAACAAGACAGGGACTGTGCCGCATACTGTGATTACGACGGAGCGGGGGTTTGCCAGGGCGTCTTCCAGCTTCGTCACGGGGTAAGCCGGCACCACGTGAATGTTCGGTGTTAGAGCTACTCACAAAGAAGACGGATTAAAAGTAAGGTGTAACAGCTCACGAGATATCTCAGAACCCTTGAGTTAAACCAAACGAAGGTCTTCCTTTAACAATCGAAGGCGGCTGCCTGGTGCGTTGTGCCTTCCATGGGGTAATCTTACCAAAGCTTGCTGGGAGTGACTCAGGATCCACTGGGGCGTTTGCTCCGATGAAGAACATGAGTGCCACTGTATGCGCAACACATTAGGAAGCCCAAGCGTGTCCGATTCTCGGACCAGTCATTCAATGAAAAGACCCAAAACAAGCAATGCGCATTGGACAGATATGTCCTTGCAGCATCGTAGATAACACTCTATTAATTAACTGGGCACAGGTAGGGGACTTACTGGAACATAAGAAGGTGGTTATGAGGTTGGCCAGTATCACAGCACAGCCGTAGCCTCGCACAAGGTGTAGCAGGCGGTCCTCTTTGTCTGCTGCTAGGGCAACCGCCGCCGCCGTTCGCGTCTCTGGAGGATAGCGAAAGATGTCGCTTGTCACTGGACTCTCAGACATGTTACGGTTCCCCGCATTGGCATGTGCCACGTAGAACCGCAGGGACTGCAGTTGTACACAAGATAGGCAGCGAACAGAATCACCAGGCAAAAAGTGTGTAGTCATTTGAGGCACAGTGCACACCGAATATCAACATGAAATATCTTTTGGAGCATCGACGCTCCGCCAGAGGCACTTCAGGAGGTGAGCTGCATGTGAAAATGCCCACTTGCGCAAGTCCTGAGTCTCCAGGCGGTTGAAGGTCGGTGGCATCCGCAGTGACCCATTGTGAAGGCTTTTCTCGGATCACCGCTGTCTTCTGCGGAGCTTCTACTTGCATATTTTGAGATCGAGGATCTGCTTCTGTGCGGCATGCAGCGCTAAAACAGCTGGCCAGGAGGTCTGATTCCTGCCTGTGCACGGAGCCTATGGTCACAAATGTTAAGGAAGCGGGGATGTTATTGGCAGGCCATCTCTTTAGCTGTCTGTGTCCTTTGTAAAATGGAAAAAGTGGATGTGCTAATGGCAATCCATTTCTTCAAGTTTGTGCTGCTCCTGCCGAGCGGCATGTAGAAGCTCTTGCGTTGGATGGAACTTCGTGTGGGACGTGGCGCGAGCGATGAAAGGCTTGCTGCAATGGAGCGTCCCTTTAGTGAAAAGCGGGCTAGAGAAGTAAAAAAAGGAGAAGGGAAGATTCAGATGCAGGTATGTTACTATTATAGGAGGGAGCAATGGAACTTCAACAACCAGTGGTCGTGAACCATCAGGCATCCCGTGATCGTCGCGCAAGGCAGACTGCCTCTAGGAAACCAAGAAACGCAACATTTGAGGTTTGAAACATATTGGCGAATAATAACCATATTTAATGAGATATTTCAATGCCTGATGCGCGGCCCGCAGAGGACACGAGCCTGGGCCCCTGGCTGACCCCCAACACCATTCTTCGCAAACAACGAGTTGAAGGAGCTGCAGACATATACGAAGTGCACAAGAGATTGCCAGGCAAGAAACGATTTAATGCTTCTCGAAAGAGGAAATGGGCCTCCATGACGTACAATGCGTTCGAGCACACACACCGTTGAGTTGCTCCTCTATGGAGTAAGTGATCAGCTGAAGACTGAATATGTATATGTAAGCCCAATGCCAAGATTTTTAATTTACAGGCAAAAACCAGAGGTGACTGTTCACGTGCACATCCCGAAGTTGCTGACAGTCCCACGACAAACGGGACCATAAGCAAAATATGCTTCGGTTCGTCTTCGATACATTCCTACTTTATGGCAAATTGCACTTCAGATTTGTCCATCTGAGTTTCTGCATCCACAGGGAGTCACCCCTTCAATGTGTGTTCGTGGGAAATAACCCTGCTCATGCTCCAGTAAGTAGTACAGCACTGCTGTATGCAGCCTCCTCAGTATACCCACGTTTCGCACATAGGGCTGCCAGAATTCCTCTTCCTTCGTCAAGGTCAATTAGATGCCCTACGTATGCATTACATATTTGGTGTGTCCTTACACAGCGTTTACGTGCCAGGTAGCTACCGTCTTCGTGTTATTTGTAACAGCACTAGTAAACAACCTTCCCTTCCCAACAATGCCGCAAAGCGACTTGCACTATAGCTCGAATTCTCGCCTAGTACGAACGTCGCATCTAAATTTGTTACTCCAAAGGTAAGCGCAGCAATTACCTGGATTAGCGTATCATGCTAACTCTGGCAGTTTGGCATACAGCAACGATTCTGCGTCCAACATGATTCGTAACGGAAAAAGACAAGTAGTGTTTCCGCCAGTAGGCGATACAAGGAAAAATGAAATGCTAGATGCAAGGGCCGCTGCACCGTGGAGCTGCTCTTCTGTGCACAGCCTCTGTACACGCGGTGGCTTCACGAACGTACGGTTGTCAAAATCTCTTCTAGAAGTTCCAGCTCCTGCTTCTCTGGCTTAGGAGGAGGAGATGCATGGCACAGATCGAGCTGCAAGGGGCAAACAGTCATAGCCAACATGAAACATGAAACATGCTAGGTGTCCTGAGTCGGAGTCCAAACACTGAACCCGGATAGTCGGACAAGGGGATTCGGGCCAGCTTACCAGGTATCTTCGTTCTTGAGGAGTTAATTTTGCAAAAATATTTGTCCTTAAAAGTCCTTGAGACGAAGCAGTGCACCACGGCTGCCGCAGAACAACCCGGGATAGCAGTACTACGTCAGTGACCCCGCTGAGGGCTCTGACAGCTGCTGGGAGCTCGTTGGCCTCCATCAACGCTGTTACCTCCGCAGCGGCAGCACCCATCCTGCGCAAATAGAAAATCACCTGCTCCATACACTGTGAGCGCTCTTAGTAGCACGAGGCGCTCCAGGCCTGCCTAGGAGAAAGCAAGGCGCACCGTCTTGTTATGTGGTCCTTGACGTGCTTTGTGGTAAGAAAGCCTGACAAATCAAAGAAACTTCGGCTCGTTGAAATATCCTGCACTGCGGCGTTGAATATGCTACAGCGAGATTTGAAGCATTTGGCCCGTTTTGCAGCCGTCAAAGCCCGCGACACTATAGAGCCCGCCTCGTGCCTGCATCGCAGCACTCGTCGTATGAACCAACAGCAGCTGTGGAGCCCTTTCGGGCGCCTGTGTTGTTCCAGAGATCGGAAAAGCACAGAACTTTATGCGAGAGATGATATCCAGATGTAGCGACGAGGGTGCATAAGTACCGGAACAGTTCCGATAGTTGCTGAGATTCCGCGTGCACCCGGCGGCGCCACTCTGCGATTCCCAGGGCTGACACAGCAGCGGCAATACCTCTGGTGGGACTCCACGGACAGAAAGCTGGAGGCACCACATTGCGTTTCTCTGCCTCTTCAAGAAGCGAGTTCCTCTGTTTTGCCTCATGCACAGCGGCCTTGTAAACAAGCTGCAGCGCCAGCTGCAGACACAGCAGGTGAAGAACCGCATTGCGTAATACGAAACAATACCTCGCCATAAAGTGGACCTTCGCACTTTGGGCTCTTAAAGAGGGGAATGACATTGACCCTCTGTAGATTGGGAGGCAGGTCAAAGCACAGTAGTGGGAACACAGGCCCTAAATACTCTTACGCAACTTACAAGTTCCACTCGGTCCCCATTTGCCCCCGCTGCTTCCTGCTGTGTTAATCCGTAAGCAGCAATAATTCTTTTTATCCTGTCTTGAGCAGCCGCTAGCGTGGCGTCAACATCACCTTCACGGCTCCGCTGAGCAACATTGTCGTCCTCGACAAGTCCCACTCTGGGCGCTAAGGCTGCAGCGACGGCTCGGGACCCTTCCAAAGAGGCAATCTGCAGACTCCACACGGACTTGGTGTCAAGTGAATGAGTGCTTTATGCGTTATGTTCACTGAGCATTCGTGATCCTTAGGGTTTAGAATTATACGAAGTGGGCCTGAGCTCACGTCCAGCAGGCGCAGCCCTTGTTCCTTTGCTGCATCACTCAAAAGTGGAGCTTCCAGCGGCTGGTCTATCTTTCGATCGACAGATGGGCTCGAATGTGCAAAAATGGGCCGCGAAAGTTCCGCAGCTTCAGCAAACGCGCGTGCAGACGCTGCCGCTGCTGAAACAAGCAGACGCTGCAATCCATACAGCGCAGTTGCTGTTTCTTCAGCCTCCCTTTGTTTCAAGTAAACGGGTGACCTTGATACAGCGGTTTCCCAAGAAGAAACACCAAAAGCAGCATTCAGGGCTTCTTCGAGAGCCACTTGAATGGGCACCACAGGGGGATGCTGGTGTCTGCATACCGTTCGCAAACCAATTCACTAAGAGAATGAACATCCGGCAGTTGGCATGTGTCCAATAGGCGCATGCCTTGAAAAACACACTTGATGGTGCTGCGTAAAACTGTAAGAAGATGACAGCACATGCAATAGGGACAGCAGAGCTCAGAGACCGGGTATACGATGCTTGAACACGCTGGTTTGTACCTTCTAAAGGCCATTACGAAGCTCTTCACAGGTTCAGCGCGGGGTATAGCCCGTATGGCTGAGAGTAGTGGCGACACAGTACACTTCTCCGCTTCCCCGTGCGAATGACTTTTACTGTTTCCCGTATCGGCTTTCTTACGAGATGGCGCAGGAAACAGCCCGTACTCAGATCCAAACCGTGATAGTGCCTTTAGGGCTCCTAGCAGTTCCGACATCTTGTCTTCTTCCTTCCAGCCTGCTGGCGTTGCTGCGTCTAGTTCGTCCCCAGAGGCAGACAAGAAGGTCGGATCCAGTGAAACATCAGATTTTTCTGCGTCTCTACGCTTTTTTAGAGGCTGGAGGGCTCCCACAAGCGAAAGAAGGCTGCTTTGTTTTTCTCCGTTAATGCCTGCTGCTGCTGAGCTGTCCGCTGGGTGCGCTGAAATCCACGTTTGCAACACTTTCGTACCCTCCCTTTGATGGGTGGAAGCACGATTCAGATGCATCCACAGGGGTTCATGAGGGTCATCCGCGTGCGGCCCCAAAGCCGCCTCGTCCGCGTTTCCCTCCTCCACAACAACTGCCAGGGTGGGCGGCAGAGATGCCAACAGTCGGTGGCTCCTATTTTCGGTCAACGCTCGGCACTTCCCCGCAGCGCGTAACACCGGAGGCAGAAGCCTCTCCACAGCAAATAAAGCTAAAGCCTCAGCACTCAGTTCCTGCCTGTCACCCTGAAAGGATAGATAGCGCCCACAGGAAGTGCCCGCTGACGCAGCGCAGCGACCTGCGCTCTTAAATACTGCTGCCACCGTCACTGCGTCTGCAACTATTAGCAATAACAAACAAAAACGTAGTCTTTTTGGTAAGATAAGAATGTGGCCTTCAATCTTTGTGCTGAGACTTGCTTCGGCGATGTCAATCTTGGAAGCGGCATTGGCCACGACCCGGCGCACCTCCGCTGTCCATTGCCCCTCACTATCAAGCGCCTCCCGCGTGACCGAAATGAACCACTCCTGCAGATGGCCGGAAACGCAGTGACAAATGAGAGAGGGAAAAAGAGCTAGAAGCTCCCTGCTCTTTTGCCTGTCTCTCTGAGGAGGATTCGAAGGGTGAAGCTGCAGCTCATACAAAAATGGCGGATCTAAAGGGAATATCTCAGGCCTTGGAGCAGCAACTTACTCTGTAAGCATCCAAATGTACTGAGGAGACGTCAGCCGAGGTGAGCCCCAGAAATGCGCGGTAGCCCAGCAGTCTCTGCCTGCGGTCTTCCGCTGCTGTTGCTGTAACCGGTGCATCAGCATCTGTCTCCCTGCTAAACTCCTGCCTGTATACCTCGACAGCCGCAGCCAACGCCTCTCGTATGTCAAGCAGCCCTAGCCTCGCCGCAGTCGGAAGTAACGCTTCATCTCTAAAAACACCCAGCGCATGTGCCACAACCATGTTGCAGACAAGCCCTGACGCCGTGTTATAGACCTACCAACATTAAAAACACGGCATGCTTGCTACAGGGCTATTGCTTCGGCTAATGTCGGGGTGCCGCACATGGACTACGGTGAGGTGTGTCAGGGAATTTCGACCTAGCCTGAAGTGCGATAGTGTCTGCATCTGCTGAGGAGTTAATCTGTCTCAGTTGAAGAAGCCATCGCTTCCAGCACTCCGGAACGCCTCTGCTTGGGAGACGTTGTCTCGTCTGGCTTGAATCAATCGTGAAACCCCATGCTGTTGACTTTGCACCTGCAAGGGCGTTACTCAAGGAGTCGCGCAGCTGCGCGAATTTTAGCGCCTTTTCTTGTCTGCACAGCGGCTCCACACAGTAAAGCTTAGCGACTGACCATGTGTGTGGTAAGCTCGCCTTTATCTGGGCCACTCTGCATAAGTAAAGAAGCTTACTTGGCGTCGATGCTGTTCAGTTGCTTCCATCTCTCTGTGTAAGCATTTGCTGCAGCAGCAGTCGATGATTCTTGCTGCGTTGGCTGGTGCCTGAGGAACAGTAATTTTAGCACATACTCGCTCGTTCTTGCCGACAATCTGTCTGGTGTTTGGCTCGCCGCCATAATCGTTGTCTCTTTCCGTGAGTTGACGATTCGTTGCAAAGAGAGCGCTTCCTCGCTTTGGCCCAATTGTAAGCCAAGGGGCCCTCCATTGTCGTCCTTAGAAAAATCCAATGTTTGCTGGTGCGCCTCTGCTGCTGCAGTTTCGGGAGCCTCCCCCAGCAGCGCATGAGCCCGCAGATATGCCAACAAGAGCCTTATCAGATGTTCATCTTCACAGGATCTTTGATTGGATTCCGGGGGGACTTCTCGTTGGGAAGACCGTTGCCGCCGCCTATTTATTCTCATTGTTGGCATGGCTTTCGGTGATGACGTGCGTGGGGCTGCCACGGAGCAACCAACCAGTCGCTCTAACGCCTTCAATATCACAACAGTTGTAAAACAAGATTTTATTAATCCACATACACGAAAAGTATGAGTTCTGAACCTAGCGTGGGGCATGGCAACATGCATTCGGGAAGAAACACGACTCTCGACTGTGCGGCATGCTGCCAGGGGCTTGCAACAATGTAAATCCAGCGGGAACAGAAGCGCAAGTGGTGCACAAACAGAAGCAACTTTGGCAGCAGTAAGTGCAGCAGAAAAGGCAAGCTTTCGAGCAAAAACATTGGCAACAGCTCGTACTCGGTCGAGAGCAAGGAGCTGTTCCGCAGATTGCAGGCAGCCATCTTCGTTGCGCATGGTCGCGAAGACTTCCAGTGAGCGCCGCAGCGGAGCAGCAGCTAAAAAAAAGCCAACTTGCAGGACATTCATGTACTGGTCCACACTGAGGCCTAGGAGATCTCTCACGCCCTCCAAAATTTTCTCTGTAAACTGCTCCGCCTCGAGAACACCCTCTGTTATTGAGTCCGCTAGCGACAGAAGACCTCCCTGCGAAGAGCTTCTAGCCTCTGCATGAGATGCCAGCAATTGAGAAAGCGCGGCAAAAGTCAGCTCGGGCAGCAGCCGTCGTGAGGCCAACACTGCCATCTGGTGCACAGCCTCAGCTTCTGCTTCGGCGCCCATCAGCGCGACAGCAGCGTCCCGCACTGCCTCCACAGTCAGCTGCAAACCTTGAAATATCCTTATGGCTGCCATCCTTAGTTCCTGCTGGCTCATCTCCACGCCAGAGGTTGAGCTAAGAGGTAAGACACACAACTGGGACTCCGCATAGAAGATGAGACGCTGCAGCATCAAAGGCAGAACGCCAACAGCAACTGCTCTCATCTCTGAGCCCTCCACTCCGAGCATTGCAGTAACTTCACGCAATGCAGCCGCCCCCTCAAGCAGTAGCCTTTGTTGCTGCCGTCGCTGCGTTTGTTGCTTGTCCTTAGCACCCGATGCCATCCTGCCGTTAGCCTGCACGCTAAGGGGATTTATGTGGGCGAACAGCCGCATGGTTAGCGAAGACACGATGCGGCGCAAAAGCTGCTGGAGACGATCTTGTGCTAGTTCGATCGGAATCTGAGGATTTAAACAGATGGCCAAATGTTTCGCAGCTCTGGCCGTTGGTGCTGCTGTATCATGCCACATGTGGCACCCAAGAGCTCACACACGAATTTTAAGGGAAGTGAGGTGAGTAAGGCAGTGAAAGAGCACGTTACTGACGCTGACCACACAACAAAGGCGGCAGATTCGGAGAACTCACGCAGAGGGCTGAAGCCACGCCAGCCACAGCGACACTGGTGTGCCGAACAGCACCAGCTCCGGCTGCACGCGCTATTGTAGTCGGGGCAGCAAGAAGATGTGAAAACAGCAGCAAACGATCCGCGAACACTGAAGGAGGAGGCAATGGGGTAAATACCGTTTGTGGAGAGCGTTTAGAGTTCGCACTCTGCCACTGTCGCTGCTGCTGCTGCTGCTGTTGCTGCTGCTGCTCCAACAGATACACATATTGCTGTACTATTGGGCGAGCCCACTGCGTGCTACCGATGAGCGGAGGACCGCTGAACATGGTCGAACTGGATCTCCTACGCCTAAGGTCCGGCTCGAGCTGCGGCTGCAGCTGCACCTTTAATTTCATCAGCGCGCTGTAGATTGCCTCGTCCTGTCCATCCCAGTCAATTGATGGAATCACGCTACTGCTGTTGTTCTTGCTGCTGCTGCATTTTTGGGGGGATTCCCCTTGAGGCATGAGAAACGCTGCTGCAGCAGTGCCGATAGAAAGAAGCCTTGATATCGAAGCTTCATCTTGCGCTGGTAGCCCCAGCATTTGACTTCGTTTTCCCTGCTGGCGTTGAAGTAACAGCAACCAAGAAGGAAGCTGCCGCTGAGCCTGGGACACATTAGCCTGTGTTGATTCTCTCAAGATCTGTGGCCCCTCCTGGGCTCTACTCTGTAAAACACAACATCTAGAAAGCCGCAGTCGAGCTGAATTAGCAGTGACAGCACTGGCAGCAGCAAAGCCTGAGAAGCTGGACACAAATGATGACAGCCTCACTGTACTCACTGTACGCGCTCACTTACCACGGGAGCCATAAAGATGTTAAATAAATTTGCAGAAGCACGAAAGCAATGCGGAAACTACACAAGCCTGAACGGCAACTGCCATCATGAGCTGCTAGGCGCAAAGGGTGTATAACACATACACATATTCTTTATATACAATCTCTGTATATTAACAATAACGCATGCACTAGTGCTGATATGTACAGACGCCTAATTATTCGAAGCGTTGCTTGCAGCACAGGAACAACCCGGTTGACACGGTAGGCATCTTCTTCAAGAAGGTGCAGTAGATAATTTCGTACCTCAAAGTGCCTTGGGGTTTGTCGCGCCTTGCACCAAGGAAAAACCCGCAAAGCAGCACCAACACCAGAAGCAGCTGCAGCAGCTGCTGCAGTCACTGCGGAACGAAAAGAAAACGTCATGGTGCGTAAGCGGGAACACGGAGAGACAGCACCTGCCAAAAATAACGAACAGACAGGTGCGAGCGCGCAACAGGAAAGGCTTACAGAGATTTCTTGGGGTTGTGGAGGTTGCAATGTGGCTGTGTACAGCATGTAAGTGCAGACCTCATTTATAAACATTATGTGGACGGAAACACCGGGCAGCAACTGTGAGATGAAAAGCGCCTGCAAAAACCAGCAGTAGCACCCTGAGAACCTCACCTACGCCGGCAGGTGTGTTTCCGGGCGGGACTCTTAAGGTCCTCCTGAAGTTGACATCGCCGTTTTTCTCTGCCACAGCAGCCAATGCAGCGAACAGCGCTGAGCCGCGGCAAGTGCCTTGCTGCTGAGGCTCCTGCTGGAGGCGGCGAAGCACCTGTAGCAGCTCTGTGGAAACACGCAATTGTAGGACAGCGGAGTGGGCATGCAGCAGCAGCCAAGGAGGGACCAGAGAGGACAAGGAAGATAACAGATGCATTGCCACATAGAGCAAAGGCTGAGGTCTGCGAGCAGCACAGGCTGACAACCCAGTCAGTTGCCTCATGTACTAATATCTAGCCAAGTTTACACAAAACTGGTTAAGTATATCCTGACAGCCGCAAGATAGAAGATGATTTTCACAAAATCGGAAAGCGGCAGTCCAGCAACACAGGAAGGAAAGAGAAACCGCATGCAAAGCAACAGCAGCAGGGATAAGATTCACAGAACAAATCAGAAAGCACTGACCAACCTCCTTCCTGAGCCAAAATCTTGACAAACTCTGCTGATTCATTCTGGAGCCCTCGGGGCACCTCAACAGGGCTCGCTTCAAGTGCCGCTGCTGCCTTGACCCACTGTTCGAGGTCACTTTTCTCACGCTCAGGATGCCCCTGAGGAACTCTAGCAAGAGCCATTAGCTCCTCGAGCTGAGCCGCGGAAACGCAGCATGCAGAGGCACACAGACGCCCTATGGATCGAAGCTTGAGTATGGCTTCCGGACAGACTAACACGCCGATGACAGGACAAAGCAGGCAGGGGACGACAAAAGCTATGCAAACAACCAGGAACAGAAGCAGGGAGCGAGTAGGAACGGAAAAAGACACAAAGGAAGGCAAAGAGACAGATGCACATATGCACACGCAAAATTGAAACGAATCATTTCCAGACATAAGGGGAAACCGTATAAAACAGGAAAAGAAACACATACGGACAAAGAGGTGCACAAGGTGAGCAGAGAACAGCGATGGCAGCAGGAGGCAGAGCGCTAGATAGGGACCCCGCGGAACAGGAAGATCCGGAAGTTCGCGTAAAAAGACACGTCTCAGCTACCTGACTACACGTAGGATAAGAGGAAATAAACAACATGCACTGTGTACATGATAATCATGGTATTGGGAAATATCACTACCTACGAGATCTACTGCTCACTACTGCGTCTTCGTTGCGTGTGTACGGTAGGGCATCGATGAGGCCCCCAATAAGATTGTCAAGGGGTTCACCACCTCCCTCCTGCTGCTGCAGTTGTTGCTGCTGCGGCAAACCGAATAGCGTCGTCCCACGAGGGTCATCTTGAACTTCCTTCAGAGTTTCAGAAAAAGCCATGTCAGCAGTACATTGCTCTTCCAATTGCTGCTTTTGCTGCTGCAGCTCCCCCTCAGATACTGGCCTATAGGGCTGTCCCAGCAGCTCAAACCAGTTCTTTGTGCTGCTGCTGCAGTTAGCACTCCTGCTGTCGCTGCTGTACTTCCGTCGGCATCTCTGATTATCAGAGTTGTGCGAAAATGCATCAGCTGGCGTTGAGCTGGCTGCAGCACAGACGTGACGTCGGTGTTGCTGCTGCCTTTGGTGCTGCCTGGGAGTGTTCGGAGCGTAAAAAAGCAGCGAATCGCTAGACAAAAAACAGTAGCACCCTTGAAAGCCCCTCAACAAAGAGAATACTTCGCTCGGAAGCATTCTTGGGGAAGGCAAGAGGGGCAGCAGGGCAGCCCCTATTGTATTGCAGCTGTAATTGAACAGGAGCAGGAGCAGTGGCAGCAGCCGCTGCCCCGGGAGTGCCACCATCTTAATTTTTAACGAAGGGCGTATGGTAGATGAATACAAGGGACACCAGGGAGGCTGTTCATCGGAAAGGAAGGCCGTAGAGACAGGATGGAGCCGCGGAGACCCTAAAAGGGAGCCGCTCGATTATATCTCGAACCAAAGGCATTGGCTCCCTGCAATCTGCCATCCAGAAAAGATCAGAGTCTTTCCACTTCATGCTAGGTTTGGTAGAGTTGCTGCTGATGCTTCCACTGGCAGAGACATCAGAATAACTGCAGCTGAGGCGGTGGCTGTCGCTGTCATGCCCAAGCTTACGAGCGTCTATATGTGTATGTACCGCGATGACCCTAAATTCCTCAGATCAATGAAGTGCAGAGCTTCGTATAAGGGAAATTGGGGTACTTGGTCGGGAGCAGTCAGCGGCGCGTATGGGCGTTGCGCAGGGCCTGATGTCTTGACTGCTTGCAAGCCACGCAGAAGGGTTTTAAGAGCACCACATGCCAAACCAGCTAATCCAAACAATAACAGCGAGATGTTCACGTATAAGATGCAGCTGCGTTGCATGACCTTGGCGTCAGATGGGGGCATCCACCCTAGCAAGTCCTCGGGGGCCCCTCTTCGAGGCTCTGTTGTGTCGTTGACACGGTTTGCGGGAAATTTGCCCAGCTTTGCATATGCGTCAACCAGCTTACCCATCAGCTAGAAAGTAATGAGCAGAGCACGACTTTTGTTTCCTGTTTAATAGGAAAGCTCCGCATCAAGAGGCAAAGGCAAAAGGGGTCGGTTCTTCGAGGGCCCAACGCGGAGCATTACCCCTGCCTTGCAGACCTGTGGGGCGGTGATGCGTAGCGTTGCGGGGGCATTAAGGCGCTTGCAACCAGTAGAGCTGCTATTCTAAAATTTTAATTAGGCTTAAGCCTGTCCAGTTAGCTCAGGCTGAGGGCTGGAGGGCTGAATAGCGAGAAGCAGGATGCCTTGCTGCCTTCTCCCCAGAACAGCCTCAGTCCACACTGATTTCTGCCTGTGTGCCTCTTTTGTTGCTTCTCTTTGCTAGAGCAGCACTTGAAATCAGGGTAGGCGACGACGCCTACTTCCAGGCCTGCAGCGAGCCTGTACAGTTGCAGGCCTGCCGCTGCCAGTGGCGAGCTCCTTCTGCACAGAGGTTCATCCGTTTTCCCTTTTCCGCCCCTGTAACTCAAAGCAAGTAGTAGGACAATGGGAAAGTCGGCAAAGAAGGCAAAGGGGGAGGGGAAGAAAGCAGGGATTGGGGCCCTGAAGCGGGGAGCAGGGGGGAAGCAGAACATGAAGTCAAAGGGACAGACTCATAAAGGAACGTGGGGTGATCTTTCTGGACTGAGCGCCACCCGGAAAGCCAAGACACACAAGGGACGGCGCATATTGGCTGCGCGAGAGAGCGAGTCGTTTGCTGCAGTCAAAAGTTTGCTTCTATTGCGGGGCAGCCGCTGCAGCGCCGATCTACTCGGCTTACTGGGGGACCTGCGGGACTTGAAAAAACCAAATGCAGTTTATTTGTCGCAGAGGAAGCAGGAAAACTTGCACCCGTTCGAAAACGCAGAACCTATAGAGTACCTCGCCCGCAAGAATGGATGCGGCCTCTTCGCTTATGCCAGTAGCAGCAAGAAACGCCCAGCCAGACTGGTGCTAGGTAGGGTCTACGACAATCAGATATTGGACATGCAGGAGTTCGCTGTTGCTCACTACACGCCTGCTGCTGCATTTGCTGCAGTACAAGCGCCCGCCGCAGGCTCCGCTCCACTGCTGTTGCTGCAGGGAGGCCTGTGGGATGTTTCTGATGAAATGAGAAACGCGAGAAACATCTTCGGTGATTTATTCAGAGCAGCAGAAGTGCCACCTGATGGCCCTACTCAGAAATTGTACTTAGGAGGGGTCGACCGCCTCATTGCTGTTAGCGCTGTTCAGGCTACACCAGGCAGCGCAGCCACCGCAGCAACAACTGCGGCGGCTGCAAAAGCAGTTATAGGAGGCAGTGAAGACTGTGAAACAGAAGCTCCAGCCTCTGGCGCAACTACTGATGGCACTGATGCCCCTGCCGCTGACAGTGGGTACTCAGGGGACGTTTTAATTTGCGTAAGGCACTACAGAATCGCCTTGGTGAAAACTGCAGACGCAGGCGGAGTGGGAGGACCGGCGGTCAAACTCGTAGAAGTTGGACCCCAGATTGACCTAAGGTAAATGCCGTACGTCAGTTTTGGTGCAGCAGTTGCTTCTGGTGCTGTTGCTGCGTATTTTCTGTAGCTGTTCTGCTGCCGCTTTTGTAACTGCAGGCCTGACCGCGTCCGTCTGCCTTCCGCAGAGATGTGGAAGTCAGCTATGAAGTCTCTCGAGAAGGCAAAGGCGGAGGAGAGGCGGGAGCGGCAAAAGGCTGCGGCTGACGGGCAGGGTACTGTTGGTGACCCCCAGGGGTCCCGGAAAGTTCATGGATCTCAAGCACTTCCGAAAAAGAAGAGCAAAAACATAACGACGAATGCATTTGGGGACTCGGTCGGCCGAGTGTATGTTGGGAACACCGACTTCACCCGTCTGAAGCAAATTCAGTCACCGATGCTGCATAAGCTACGCCGAGAAGAAAACAAGGGGAAGAAGCAAAAGAGACAGGAACAAACAGCAGAATAAGTAGCAACGACAGAAACTTAACTTTGCTGCAGCTCCCTGCTGAGGCTGCACAGTTGTGAGGAGCTGCTGTTGGCCCACAAGCAACAACTTGTGAAGCCCATCGCTTGGTTCTAACAGCCACATGTTGCTTCCACCAACAGCACCCCGCAGTAAAGAAGCTACGGGTAATGCAATGAGGGGCCCCTTTACAACTAGGCTGATACGTAGCACCAAAAGTCGTAGCGACGCTGCGCCTACTGCTGTCCTTAGCAACTAGGAAGGCCTCTGCCCTCCCTGCCCCCCGCAGGGCACTGCAGTCGTGTGCGCTCACGATCTCTATGGTTCCGCTGAAGGCCACTGTGGGCCTGCAGGTTCGGGGCAGGGCTTCTAAGACCGCTACATTGGCCTCCCGGAAGCCAAGGGCGCCAAGGCCACGACTTGGCGTCGTTAGTTTTGTACCTTAACACAGTCTCACCGTAGACTTCGCAGAGTCTTATCTACATTCAACTGAATACAACGTATTTGATGTATTGTTTGAAAAGGGCACAAACTCTTTCGTAGCACTATCAGTTCAGCTACAGACAGACAATATGGTGGATATGTTCTTGAGGAAGAGCTCCCCTGCCAGCGTGAACTGTTGAAACTGTATGAAGTACATCAGCGCAGTTAAGGACCACGTCTTCTACGCTCTTGAACAATAGAAGAGCCAAATCTCCGGCTTGCTGAATATCTGGAGCGGCGTGCAGCCCTTCGTCCTCATGGATCCGAATCTATGTGTGTCACCTGCCGTTCTACACATGAGGTAATTTCGTTGTTCCTCTCCATTTTACTTCCTGGCTTCCGCTCCGATCATGCAACTTCAACATAGTGGTTCCCTACTTCCAAAGGTCTCGCTGTACGGTCGCTGGTGGATGCCTGATGGCCAGCCACACGCTTCGTGGTGTATAGGTTGCACTGACGACGGGATGTCAGCTACTTCACTTTGCTGAACTCCCCCTCGACGTCGACGGCGCTCAACCAAATCTGGCATTCCTTCGAATGTTCTGCCGAGCTCTCCTCGGATGCAAATGCCGAAAACCGTCACATCTACGTGAAGTTCCAAGACCAGAAACAATGTGTGGGGTGGATAAATGGCACGAAGAAATGCGTCTTCTGCATCCGGGGTATATATATATATTTGGTATCTGTAGACGTCCTGTAATACACAGCAAAATTCTCACGGGCCCCAGCGTTTCTCTCGTCCATCTATCGTTCTCACACGTCCTGTAATGACGCCTCAGGGGCCTACATCAACGAAGATAAGCAAAACTAAACATCACCCGCCAAGCAAAAATGCTCGGAAGTGTGAAATTGCTCAGGGATAAGAGCACAGCTCGCCACACAAAGAACAGCAAGGGCTGCACTCGAAATGCTAAGTACACAATATAACGTTCAGCGCTTGCAGTACAAAACTTCAGGCGTTTCGGCGAAGGCTGCATAACGAGGTTCCCATTAGCCCCTCAAAATAGTAGTTAACATAAAGCGTGTGAGATTCAACAGCCTATACAGTCACTGATTTCCGATGGCTCGAAGGCCCTCTGGCGAAAATCTCACGAAAACATGTTTCCAATGCCGCAGCATCCTTGCCACGGCCTTGTCTACTGCCTTCTTGATTTCCTTCTGTTGGCGTTGCTGTTGTTGGTTCCTTGCTGTTTGAGGTCTCCCCGCTGCACTACTGCAGCTGGGCTTCCTGTGAAGCTCTGCTGGAGCCCCCTGGCATGGCAAAGAAGAAGTCGCAGAATCCACAGCATCCTGCTGCAGCTTTTCCCTGATTGTCTCAAAGTGGGGGCTTTTTAGTTCTACTATTTCAGGACTCAACAAACAAGCAGCAGCAGCTTCAAGAGCCCGCAACTCTGGAAGGCATGCCTTCTCAGCAGCCTCCTCAGATACGCCACAACTACTGTGAACGATTCGAGGAGTAGCTGCAGCGACTTTATTGCTATTTGGAGGAAAGGCATGAACATGCGCAGCAGCAGGAACCGAATTGGTAACATCGCGAATTGGTTGCTCGCCACTAGCAGTAGCCACAGCACGTGCCGCAGCAGGTGTCATGTCTCCTGCAGTAGCAGCACCTGTTGTCTCATCCTGCAGTGCCTCTTTTGGGAGCTGCTCATTATCGGCTGCATCACCCTGCAAGCCGTTGGCCCCGGAAGCGCCAGCCTCGGTAGCTGGTGTACCAAGTGGCCCCTCCACAACACCCAACGAACCTTCGGCTGCATTCAACTCGCAGTTTCGTTGCTGCTTCTCCTCTGGTTGCCCCTGCGGATGCTTTGAACGAAGGCTTGGGGCTATCTGAGTGTCCCCAGTGTGGTTATGTACATCGCCAGTTCCCTCATCCTCTACAAACTGCTCGGAACGTGGAGTTTTTGGGAAAGCTGGCTGGCAAATCTTTGACGTGCCTGCATACGGCGATGGCTCGTACAATATCATTGAGGCGGCAAGCTGTTTATCAACCCTCACAAAGCCGCTTCGCTTCAGGCGCGTTTCTAGCACCTGTAAGTGCACTCCCGGAGGCAGCTGCTGCAGCCCGAAGACTCTCAAGGAAGGGCACCTCTGCAGTAGTTGTTCAACAGTCCTCGAGCTAACACCGCATACCTCACTGGTACCTGCTGCTGGTGATGCTACCTTTGGACTTGGTGACTGAGCTACCTCTCGACTTCCCGCGTGAGAATTCTCCGAATCCTTCTCCTCCACAGAGGAGACAATGGCACCAAGAAAAAGAAACAACAAAGGAGAACCGCCCGCTCCAGCAAGCGCGCTTCCTCTCGCCACAGGTGAGCCTTCGCCTCCTGTTGTCAGGCGCATCAGGGCCTCAACAGTGACTCTCCCCGCAACTGCCAAGCACAATAGATCCGGCAACATCTCTCTGCTTCCTATATCGGAAACTGTGAATGGAAAAGAGAGCGACGTACTGATAGGCGGCCCCGCAGTTGATGGCTCTTCCTCTGTGTCGCTGGCGCTTCTGTTCTCACTGCCTTCTTCGCTGTGGGAATCGCGTGGGCACATACCCGTGCCGCCCACTGATTGCTCATGACTTCCCCGGTGCTTCTCCGTCACACCTCCCGCCACCTTCTCGAATCCCTCATAGCGACGTAATTGCCCAATGGCTAGATGTTGCAAATGGCAGACGACAGGCGCAGTAGCCCCAGCATGAAAAGGTAGTGGTACTGGTCCATCCACACTTAGAACTTCCAACTGAGGTACGTGAGACTTTAAGAAGCGTTGTAGTAAACCTCCATCCACTCCTCTATAGCTGCGGCCCCTTATACCGCCCGTTCTGGGGCTCTGCATCTTCAGATCGGTCCCTGCTAACGATTCTTTTTCTGTAGCGTCGCCGCGTCGATGCTGCTGCTGCCCCTTCAGGCATTTCTGGAGCCCGCTGTGTGCGTCAGTGAGATACAACTTCCTTAGCGAAGGCAAAAACAGGCCTCTTGCACGCTGGCAGAAAAGACGCACAGTGCCCCCGTACTGATGGAGCTGTGGCAGCGAAAGCAAAGGCCTCGAACCAGACCTCTCTCGGAAACCGAAGGGTTCCTTTTCCCGCGCGCAAGCAGTTGCTGCACCAACGTCGGCGGGGTCTGCTCCATCTACACCATTTGCGGCAGTAGCGGCCTCAGTACCAGGGGCTTCAGCAGCAGCAACGCCCGCTGGCACTTCAGGAAAATCGCCAACCTGGGAAGGCACCACAGGGGGAAGGGCATCATGAAGTGACCCTGAATGGGAGCGCACAGGAACTGCTGCTTGTCCCTTGATTCGATGTATATACAGCTGGCGAATGGTACCGCTACAGCACTCCAGAAAGACCAACAGAGACTTAATATTCGCTGTCGTTTGCTGCAGCAGCAACTGCTGCACCGACGGGCAAACTAACAAAGGCAGCAGCATGCTGCAGCGCTTGAGGTGCATGCGTCTGACGTAGGGCAATACTTTAACTTCAGTCTGGAACAATTGATCCCTGCAACTGCGGCTTGCCAGGGACAAGTAGCGGGCCTCAGCTTTCTCTGCCCCTGGTAACGCTGTGGCTTCCTCTCCTCTCTCCTCCACTCCTGGTGCTGCTTCTTTCACCTCACGCTTTCTATCGTGTGTCTTTGCTTCCTCAGACGCCGTGTCCACTGCTGCTCCAGTGTGAGTGTGGAGGCCGTACACGTGGCCTTCAATAGCGTTGCAAACATACAGAGACCTGAGAGCACGGCTCTGCACGGGCTGCTGCTGGTGTTGATGCTGCTGCTCCTGGTTGTTCATGGGAACCGCAAGACGACCAATGATGTCTACGAACTGCTTCAGCTCATCTGGCTGACAAACAAATGCCGCTAAGGTCGTTGGGCGGGCTGCAACTGCTGCAGCAAAGCAACGAAGAGCGCCTCCTCTGATTCCTGCTGTAGCGGCGTTCCTGTCTGCACTTGTCAACCCCAGCTGCTCTGTCTGCTGCTGCCTCTGCTGCATGAGCGAGAGTGTATTGTCTAGTGTGGGCCTGTTCTCGAGGGAATGGACCGGGGTATCGTCAAAAATCTCAAAGATATTTCCCTTTGCTAACTTGTAATGCCACTCCCACTGAAGGGCCTCGGTCTCCTGGGGTGTCTGATGAATGCCCTCCTCTGCAGAGACAGTACCCTGATTTCTCCAATGCTCCCCTTTGTCCACTTCTTGCCAGGGCCAGGGCTCTGCATCAGCAGATTCACCATGGCTCTCTACCAGGGAACCATGGCTGCTCTCAGAACTTCTGCTTCTGCAGCTGCTGCAAGTGCTGAAGCCACTTAAGTTATTACCCACGCTTGCTGTAAGCATACGCGAAAACGCAGATCCGATGAGCGGCCTATTCAAAACCAGCACCTCCAGACAGTGCAAGTGCAGCAAATGCTGCTCTTGCTGCTGTTCTTGCTGCTGCTCCTGCTCCCGCGGCTGCTGCGGTATGCCTTCTTGTAGGGGACAAATACACGAAGAGTCGGCAAGAAGCCCCAGGATACGACGCTGCACCTTGGCCACTTGGCTGCTCCCCCAGTCCGTAAGGAGCAGATCAGGGGCCTGAGCTAGCAACTCAAGGACAGGGGCACCTAAACATAAATACTGCAGCGTCTGCTGACTTCTAATGAGGACTTCAAGCAGGGCGAACGCTGCAAGCAGCATAGCCTCCACTTCTTCCGCATGTACTAGTGCCGCTGCTGCAGAAGTGCTCCCCGTGAGTGCTGCTCCTGCAGAAGAACCCCGTGAAGGACTAGACTGTTCATCTATTTCACAGAACCCCTCGCTTTCATTCGCTTCATCGCCAAAAGGTTGATCGACGCGAGGCGGCAGCAGTGGAGCGCCAACCTCATCAGGGCTCTGCCTCAGCAGCAACAAACGCTTCCGGACTTGCAGCTGCATTTTGGCGGCACGTGAATTCTCATGTTGCATTTCTTTATCTAGCGAAGCTGAAGCACCCTCGCGAAACCATGGACTACGCGGCTGATCGCCTGATGCCTTCGGTTCTGTAGTTGCTGCAATTGTTACCCCGACTGCTTCTGGCGACGGTGCGCTCTTGTGGGGGACCAAAGCAAGGATCTGCGCAAGATGCTGCCGAGCAGTGACACAAACGGCCTCCCACATTTCTTCAGTGCGGATGTCCCCAGCAGCTTCCAACCCTAGAAGACTGCTTTGCTCGCTGAGCTGCAGAAGAGCAGCAAGGTTACGCAGTAGCGGCAGGTTCCCTGATACCTTCTTCGGAAGCTGTGCAGGGACAAGAGACGCTGCAACACCCTCAGAGTCAGACACAAGCTTATGGTCGTGGTGCTGTTCTTCCTCAGCACGACCGGCTGCTGCCCCCATTTCTTCTCCCTCTGCTGCAGCGTTCCCCGTTGGTGTGCTCTCTGCTGCTGCGCTCTTCGGCACTCCTGCTTCTCCTCCTGCTTCATTCGGTGCGACTGCCTCACTGCCAACAGCAGCCCCTTGCAAATCGTTTTGTTGCAACGAGCCCTCCCCTACCAAATGCTCCTTTTGAGTTGTACCCCTCTGCGATGTCGTGGATTGACTAAGGGAAGAGACAGGGAGGCTTAAAGCCTTACTGGCTTTGCTCAGAAGACGCTTCGCCCCCTGCAACGCCCGCTGCGCCCCGTCAGCACCCACACCAGCTCCGGCTGCTATTCCCCCAACCCCAGATGCCAATGCCGATCCCCGCAAACTGCCTTTGCTAGACGCCTTGCGACGAAAGGAGCCCCAAAAAGAAAACTTCTTTCCATAGGGTTCTGTTGGGCTTGGTGGGGAGGACTTGGATGCGTGTAACTCAGGAACAGGTGCAACATCCCCAATTCCTGCAACAGCAGAGACAGTTACGCGTATTGGTGACTGTCTCATATCTGCAATATTATTTTGTTCTTCCTCCTGCACTTGTTGCTGCTGATTCACTAGTTCTTCCAACTGCGTTTGTTGCTGCAGCACAACTGGTTGTGTCTCTACGTTTGAGAGGCCTAGGCGGCGCTCTTGTCTCTCAACGGCTTCCAGCTGCTGCCTACGGAGACACCGAAGCGCACAGCGGCGTTGGTGTCTCTCTGCGCTGTTGACAGCTGCAATGGGCAACTCAACAACAAGCCACAATGTCCTAATGCCACTGTTATTTCGCTGCTGCTCGTGCTGCTCATGCTGCTTCTGCTGCTCCCGTAAACAGTGCTGCTGCCGCTGCAACCGCAGCAGAGTCAGCAGCAACGTTTGTATGTACGTTCGTGTTCCTGCCGCATCCACAGATGATTTTTCAGCTGGGTGCTCTTCCTGTTTCTTTTCTTGTTGCTGCTGTGTGGGCTGAACTTGCCGCTGCTCCTGACGTTTCTGCTGCATCATCAATTCTTCGTCTGCTGTGGCAAGAAACCTCACCAAACCCCGAAATTGCCCCAAGTCGGAACTTGCTGCAGCTGTCGCAGCACCCTCGTTGCCGCCTGCTTCCAGGTCTACCTTTGCCGGCCAATGCTCTCGAGCTGCAGTTGCTACAGCACTCTCGTTGCCACCTCTTGCCCAGTCAACCCTTGCTAAGCTGTGTTCTGGTACGACTGCTAATCTTGCTGCCCCAGCGTTGCGATTAGATGAGTCACGCGGTGCTAGGTAGAGCAGACCCTCCTGCTCCAGCGCCACCAAGTCTGCAACCGCTCCAATACTCCACGAAACGTTCAACGGAGAGGGACCCAATCGGGAAGCCAAGCGCTGCAACAAATTCTGCTGGTACCGTTGCTGCTCTTTGCTGTCAGCATCATGCTGAACTGAAGACACACCGCCAGACTGGCCTTGCTGCAATTCTTGATCTACAACCGCTGCAGACCTTTCCGCTGCTTGCTGCTGTGGCAGCAACAACTGATCCTGTTGCTTGTCATTACTCTCCTCCGGAAGCTTCTCTTCCATAGGCTGTTTCCCTTCATGCAGTCTTTGATCGTCTTGCTGCAGCTTTTGCAGGTCTTGCTGCAGTTGTTCATCTTGCACCTCCTGTTGCGGATGCTGCTCTTCTTCCGGACCATCTTGTTGTCCCCGCAGCTGCTTTTCGCCTTCCTCCACCTCCTTCTCCAGCTGCTGCACTTCCTCCTCCAGTTGCTGCTCGTGCTGCTGCAGCTGCTGCTCCTCTTCCTGGAGTTGTTGATCGGTTTGCTGTGGTTCTACCGAGTTACCTCCAACATCCTGACGCTGTTCTCCCTGCCGTTCCTCCTCTGGCTGAAGTTGCACTTCCTGCTGCACAGCTGGCGGCCCACCTTCTTGGTCAGCTTGCTGGTCCTCCTGAGGCGGCTGCTCCTGCTGTTGCTGTTCCTCGCCTTGCTGCTGCTCCATTTGGGGCTGCTCATCTCCCCCCAGCAGCTCCTTCTGCTGCTGTTCTTCGGCGGCTGACGCTGCTGGGGGCTTCGACACTTCCTCAGGGTCTCCCTCTGAGTGCACAATAGGTTGTGGCTCCTGCTGTTGTTGCTCCTGTGTGTCTTGAGGCTCCTCAGACTGTTGTTGCTGTTGCCCTTCTTGCTGCTTCTGCACCTGTCGCTCCGTTGGTACTGTTTCCGTGGCTTCGTGCTCCTGCTCCTGCGTGTGCTGCGGTTGCTGCTGCTCCTCACGCGCCCCAGGTGCTATTTGTTGGTCCTGCTGGCTTGTTTGCTGCTGCTGCTGTTGAACCTGTTCCTGCTGATCCTGCATCTTGCTTTCGTTCTGTAAGCGCTGTAGATTATCTGACTCCTTTTCTGTTTCGCACCTCTCGGGTTGTTGCTGTTGCCCTTGCTGGAGTTGCTCAGTGGGAACCTTTTGCTGCGCCTCTTGGGTCTGCCCCTGCTCTTGTTCGCGCTGTTGCTCCTTCGGCTCCTGCTTGGAGGCAGCTTTCTGTTGGTGCTCTCCAGGCTGCTCCTGCGGATCAGACCACTGCTGCTGTTCAGACCGCTGTTCTTCGGGCCGCTGGTGGTCTTCAGACTGCTGCTGCTGCTGTTGCTGCTGCTTCGGCTCCTGCTCGGAAACAGCCTTTTGTTGCTGCTGTCCCTGCGAATCAGGCCGTTGCCGCTGTTGAGGTTGCTGCTCTTCAGGCCGCTGCTGTTCTTCAGCCTGCTGCCGTTGCAGCTGTGCACTTTGCTGCTGTTGCTGCTGTTCGCGTTGCGGCTGCTGCGACTGCCCTTCAGCCTCCGGCTGCGTCTCTTTCAGTGGCTCTCGCTGCTGCTTTCCAGCCTCCTCGAGCTCCTGCTGTTTCTGCCGTTGTTCGTTCGGTTGCTGCTGTGGCTGCTGCTGCTCCCGCACTGGCTTTTCCGGGCCAGGCGTCTGCTGTTGCTGCCCATTCCGAGAAACTTCTGACCCGTGTACTGGTTGCCGCTGCTGCGGCTGCGCCTGTGGCTGCGCCTGCGCCTGCTCCTGCCGCGCTTGATTACCTTTACTCCCAGTACTCCCTCTCTCTGGCGCAGCTTGTACACTTTTCTGTTCATGCGGCTGCTGCTGCTGCTGCGCTTCCTCTGGAAGGGATTGATGGGTCATCTGATCAGGAATGTCACGCGCCTGAGGACCTCTCTCCCCGGCGGCGTCTGTGGAACCCTCCATACTGGCGAACTGACTGCCTGGCGCCAAAGGCCCCTCCTTGCTAAGAATTGTACGGGGCTCGAGACAAAAAAAAAACAACACCAATCCCAGATGAGCAGAGCCGGAAGTTGCACCGGCACCTATTGCTGCCCACTGTCGCCGGCGCTTTTGCAACGTCTGGTTTGTGTGCCCGTTCAATAATCAATCAAAACACTAGGCCATAGCATTCATTTGCAGCAAACGCTGCTATTCCTGCTGCAGCTGTCGACGTCGCTGCTGCTGAATGCCGCTGTTGCTGCCGCTGTCTAGCTGCCGTCTCTGTGCGGCCCGAAAGCAATGCTTCTAAAGTGTAATATGTGTAGAAAGGCCAATGTTAAAAGTGTATCGGGGGAAAAACTGGAAAATAAGGGGGAAAACATTGTCAAGTGTGCGCCTGGTACTCTCGCTGTACGGCTACTAGCCACGGCCTAGACTCGACAGAGGATTGGAGGAGTCTCCCCTGCTGTTTTAAAGCCGTCTCGATGTTAATACGCCTCTAACAGAAACCTGAATTCCAATGCAACCTCATCTTCACCGTACTCAAGGTCAAGGACCCCACATCGAAACGCAGCACACGAAGACAGGCACTGGGGCAGGGCGGTCCAGGTCCCCAGACCAGTGGGCCTGTGGTGCACCTTGCTTTTTGTGGCGCCGTCCAACTGCAATTATAGAAGTGCTTTGAAAAACTTGCTCAAAGGCTTACTTTAATATGTTTGTGATTTGTGGCTTCGGTCTGCAAGACGCAGGTGAGCAGCTTCAGACCTTGCCGCATCGAAGGAGACCTCCATCGAACACCGTAGGAAGAGAAATGAGAATGCATTTATCCCAAAAGTGCATTTAAGTGAAATTTTAATATGAATTTGAAATGTAGTTGAGTGAAAGAGCGAAAGAACGGTGCAACGATGCAGCCACCGAAGAATGCCTCCGCACCACCACTGAGTGGTGGCGACCGACGTCACAACTAAATCACATCATGGAGAAGATAGCAGTTTAAACCCAACAAACATCACCTACTAAATAATGTGGTAGCTCCTACTGTCACACCATCACTTGCAGCGAGCCACACTCCAGCTACGAAAAAGTGAAGAACAGAGGGAGGAATTCATGATACGGCTCAACGGCCTACCACAGATGAGGGGAACCGCTACAACAGAAAAGCCTCCAGCCGACGCTGTTTGCCCAAGCTTTCCACAAGCTTAGACAATAGCACACAGTAGCAGTACCAATTGTTTAGTCACACTCTCGGTAGTGCATCGAGGTAATGTAGCAGTGTCTGCAGGAGCTGCGGTTGCTCGAAAAAGCTCCTTGGAATGCTCTGTTGCTCCAGCCCTCAACACTGCAGCAGCAGCTACTGCTGATCCGATTGCCGCCTCCTAAGCCTCCTACGTCTGGGCATAGGATGAGCGCAGTAGTACACAAATGCTCTGTGCTGCAGAGACATCAATAGCAGACCTTTCTGTGAGTCTCTCTCCCGCAGCTGTAGCAGCCGCCAGCGCTGCTGTGCAATATGCGGCTTCTGTGGCATCCACCGGGAAGGTGTCATCCCCAACAGCTGCAAGAGCGGAGCAGCGTCAAGGCGCACCTCAGCTAAACCAACAGAAGCAAACAGCAAACAGTATTTAATCCTGTTGTCGTTGCTGCTGTTCCTGCTGCAGAGTGGGCCAGGGAAGACGTCAGGTGGGGTTGCTGTGATCACGAAGTTGAAGGCTGACGACGCCAAAGCTCTTTCCAAATCCCCAGGGGGCCCGAACTGCACAAGACAACGAGAAGGAGGAGGAGAAGCAAAAGGAGAAACGCCGACGGACAAGGCATCTGCAGCAACATAAACGGTGCAGCGGTGGTGCTGCTCTTCGGCCTGTTGCTGCTGCTTCTTGTGAGCGGGTCCCGATGTCAAGAAGTAGTGAAAGTGAGTCCCCAGAAACTCGGGAGTGCATGCCGCGGCCCGAATGGCTTCTTGCTGCACTGGTTTGTGCCGAAGCAGCGCAACTGCTACCAGGGGGTGAAGAGGCTGCAGGAGCTCCTCCAAAGTACCAATGGGGACTGCTGCAGCAGCGCTTGCTGCTGCCGCCGCTGCTGCAGAGCCAGGCGCTGCTGCCCCTGCAGCAATCCACGGACTGTATATCACAGAAGCAGCAGTAGGAAGCGCCTCCCCTATATCTGGATACAATGCTGAATCATAGAGCTGGCGAAAAATTGTTGGCACCGTTATGCTCCTGATGGAACTCCCACCCGCAACCCCTGCTGCTGCAACTGCTGATATTGTTGGTACTACGTCGGTATGCGCCTGCATCTCTTTTTTGTGCAACAGCAACAGTCGCTCCAGCGCATGCAGCGCGTGCCCCCCCGGAGAAAGGTATGCTGCAACTGCAAGCCTGGCTAGGGCGATCACGTCGGCAGCAGCAAACAACAGTAGCAGTCCAACTGCTGCAGCTCCAGCTGCTGCTGCGCGCGGTGTCAGCAACCGCCGCGCCAACTTCTTCTGCCACAAGGCCATTCGCCGCAACTGCAGCAATGTCGGACTTCTCTTCAGTGTCGCTTCGATGCATGCAAAAGAGGCGCGACGTAATTGCCTTGCGGCTGACGCGGCCTGTGGCGGTAGCCGTGCCGATACCGCATGCAGCAGCTGCAGCGCCCCCATTTCGCAGCAGCCGCTAATGCTGCTGCTTGCACTGCTGTTATGGCTACTGCTCGCGGCATCTGCACCCACAGAGCCAATCGCCTTTGCACCATATCCGCCTGCTTTACGTGCAGCAACACTGTTGTGACCGCTCCTGGTGCCACAGCAGGGGTAGTCCCCAAGCTTACTTTGCTCAAGCACATCACGCATGGCCGGAGATACGTCGTCAAAAAAGGCGTCATTTTCTGTTGCTGCAAATGCAGAGCTGCGACGGCCCATAGCAGCAGCAGCACCAAACGTGGCTAACTCTGTGCTCGACTCCTCTGTTGGGAAGATTTGTTGCAGCAGTGCTGCCCCTGCAGCTGCTCCACAGGCCGCCACTACAGCACAGAAAGGCAACAGAAGCGGCACCAGCGCGTCCTGTTTTTGCTGTTGTTGCTGTTGTAGACTTACCTGGCCTTGCTGCTGCATTGTCAATAGCAGGCAGAAGGCTCCTGTAAGCCACGGGGAGCCGAAATCACAGCAAATGAACCAGGGGATGAAGGCATCGCTGCCTCTGTTTCCTTGCTTGCTCCTGGTGCTGTCATTACTGCTGCTCTTCTCGCAACGGCTGCTGCTGCTGCTGGTGTTCACGCTACGGTCGGTGCCACTGCTACTTGCTCTTTGAGACTTCAAAGTGATGCCAGAATCACCCGATATCGAATGTTCGTTGGGGAGAAAGAAGTTGCCCGGTGCGCCCGCATTGTTGGGTATGTTTGTTTCGCGGTTGCTGCTGCTGCTCCTGCAACTGTTGCTCTTACTGCTTACTGTGTGATCAGAAAGTTGTAGCGCGCTATTCCGCCTCTTCCAGCAGAATCGGGCTATGCTCCAGCGGACTGATGCATGTTTTGGTGGCAGCGTCCCGCGAAGACGCAACAACTTAGCCACCAGCTGTAATGGCAAAAGCAGTAACGGCACAAGGGATAGCAGCCCAAAGGTGGTAAAAAGCATGCCTCCTGGCAGCTGCAAGATATACTGATGGAGGCTGATGCGTCCCGTAGACGGGGAACCCTGTGCCTCTCGCTGCCACAGCAGCAGCCGTGTTGCCTTGTGCCAGCCAAAGCTGCTGCTGTCGCTTTGTGCAGCAGCTGCTGAGGTGTCCATCCACTGGTAAGAAAGTAACAACTGCTGCAGCCCTCGTTCTGCTGACAACAGTAGCGAAGCCTTGGCATGCTGCAGGCGCTGCGTTAACGAGCTGTACACATACACCATCAGCTGTTGAGACGGCAGCGTGTCATTCACAGCTAATGTCTCCAAAGCTGCAGCTCCTGCAGCGCCAAGCAACACGCCTGTGGCAGCAGCGACAAACAGCAGCAACAGGGCCCGTGAGACTCGGCCCAACCTGTTCTTCAGGCAAGCACTGCGACTACAGCTGCCGTCACAGCTGCTGGTACTGCTGTGGCTCAAGCTTGTGGCCCCAACAATCCTGGCCTCATTAACCGGCAAGCGAAACGCGAGGTGCAGCAGCACTGGCACAAACACAAAAATCAAGGAGGCATCGCCAGCAGCTGCCGCTGCACCTCCACACAGCATGCATCCAACTGCACGCATGCAGTAAGGGAAAGACATATTAGCACCGCTGCTGTTGTTGCCCTTGCCCCCGTCACTGCGAACAGGGAGCTTGCTGGGTCTACCGCTGTTGGCGTTGCTCTTGCTGCTGCTGCTGCTGCTGCTGCTGCTGCTGCCGCTGCTGCCGCTAGATTTCGAAGGTGGGGCCTCGGAACAGGCGCAGGCGCTGAGCTGTTCGCAACCTTTGCTGTCCTTGCTGCTACCTCTGCTTCTACATCGCAGCAATGAGCCGTGGCGCTCCTCAATCACGCGGCTGCTACAGTTGCTGCAGCTGCTGCTGCCTTCGCATTCTTCTCTGCTGTTGTTGATGGGACGCATGCTGCCATTTCCGGTTGGCGGGGCAGCCTCATCTCCCCTTAAATGGATCTCGGTATTTCTGGTTTTGCAGCTACTGCTCCCGTCGTTATTGATGTTGCATGTGCTCTCAGACCTTTGGTCTGCAGGCCTGTTGCTCGTGCAGCTGTCGCTTGCGCAGCTTTCATCCGAACTGCACGCGGCGTTGTTTCTGCTGCTGCTGCTAATTAGCTGTTGTGCAGCAGTGACTCTGCTGCGGTACAGGCACTTTAAGGCCGATGCGTGAAAAGCACACGCAGCAGCAATAGTAGCAGCAACAAGAACATTCGAGGGAGAGACAGATGCGTGCAGCAAGAGCGGTGTCAGGCTCACTGCAGAAGCTGCAAAACAGCACGAAAAAAGACAACTGAATATAGACTGACGCCAGTCCCGAGCAGCAGCAGTTCTGTTCCGGCGTCTCCTCTTATCTGCTCTGCGGAGCTCCCGTTCCATCCGACAACGCAGAGTGTCGCATCCGGCCATCTTGCTGCTGCTGCCGCTGTTGCCTCTGCTGCACCGGTTGACAATGCTACTGTCACTTTCCACGCTGCTGATGCTGCCTTCGCGCTCACGCCTTTTATTTTGACGGAGATACTTAATAGAACGAGCCCTTACATTTGCTTCTGCTATTGCTTCGTGGGCCTGCGCAGCAGCTGCAGCGGCTGAAGCACACGAACGCCTAAGGGCTACGTAAGAAGCACCGATGATCAACAGAAGGACACATCTAGTGAGAAACAAATAGCTGAGACCCACTGGAATATGAGCCACATACCGGACTCTCTTCCTTCTGTTGCTGCTTTCACCGCTGCTGGCGTTATTGCTGGGACGAGGGCGGGGAGCAGGAGGCAAGAAAGAAACCTGCAACAATAAGCCCGGGAGAAAGTCGAAGATACGCCTCACGCGGCTGTGGGGAGGTGGCAACAAAAGGGGTGGAAGTGAAGGCAATAGCAGCAAGCCCTTAGGCATGAGCACGGGGGGTCCCCTCGGCAGCACAAGGAGGTGCTGCAGCAGACCATCCTGCAGCAGTGAGCTGGCGGTTGCCTTGCCTCGGCTGATCGCTGCAGCTGCTGCTGATGCTGCTGCTGCTACCATGTCCCTGACTACCCGACACAGCTGACTGATGCGCGCTGTTGCGGCCATTGCTGCCCCGCTGCTGCCCCGAAGTAGCTCCACCGTAGCTGCAGCAGCTGCCGCAGCAGGCAAACGGAGACGATTGCAACTCTTGCTGCTGCACCGCGTAGCCCTAGGCCTTCCTCCATTGTCCACAGAGCTAACTGATTCAGCTGTTGCATTTTCTTGCTGCGGCGAAAGCTGCAGCTGTTGGTTCTGGGGCTCAGGAGCCGGTGCAGTGGTGGGGAAGAGACAGCTATATAGGCATTCAACTTCACCTGCTGCTTCTTGTTCGGGGGGAAAGGGGTCAGCAAAGACGGCGGCGAGCAACAGCAGCACGACAGCAGCATCAAGAAGAAGCAGAAGCACCGGCCCAAGGAGGGACCTCTTGCGCCATCTGTCACTTGCCGCTGCGAACCTTGCACTCTTCATGCTTTTCCCTGCAGCATTTTCCATAGGCCTTTGCTGCAGCTGCTGTGATTGCTGCTCTCGCTACTAACGTTGCCAGGGCTGATACTGCTGAAGCGGCTGTTGCTGCGTACGCTTGCAGCTAACGTTGTTCGCATCAGGGAACAGTACGTGAGGCTGCAGTGGTATTTCCTGTAGCATTAGCTCGTCAAGCCCACCCCGTCAAGCCCTTGCTAACAGAAGGTGATTCTATACCAGGAAACAAACAGCGAATGGAGATGCCTGTAGCAGCTATCCAGGCACTGCAAGCCAGATGGAAGCATGGAGTAGCAACCGGAGCAAGAGCAGGATACGCAGTTCCCCTCGCCCAATGCTGCTTGTTAAGAGGTTCACGCTACTGCTCCCTTATAAACAGGAATTACTTCAGGATGACTGTGCCTCCAAAATGGCTATGAATCGTCCTTCTTGTGTCTAGCAGCCAGAAATACACAGGGCCTCGTCTTGCATGCGATGCAGCTGCGCAACGGCAGCAGCACCAATGGCATCCCCAGGCAGCGACAGTTCATCGTCATTTCGTTGCATGTATTTCCCCTTTCGTGATAAATGGAGCAAACACACACAACACAAGCCTTGAGCTGGAAGCCCGCGGCCAAGGGATGTCTTACGGAGGAACCAGCAGCGGCTTGTTGTTGTTGTGACTGTAGAAAGCATCCCAGAATGGCCTCACCTGTTGAGCAGATGACACCTGAGAATGCGGCTCCTACATTGAATGGCCTTAAGGTGTTTGCATGATTGCTGCTGCGCCTGGTCACCCGCTCAGGGTCACCTCTGGCGACCATTGTAGCTTACAGTATTACCATTACCTCAACCACTCTTCATATTGTTTCTGTAGTGGATTCTCCACAACAGCAGTGATGTTAATAACAACAGAAGAAACAGCCATGGGGGATGAACCTCGCAGAAGAGATCGGTCTGCAGCTCCAACGGGAGCAGCTACGGAGGCAGAGACAACAGCGGCAACAGAACAATTAGCAGGAGGAGGTGTTTCTGATACTGTTGCGCCCGCTACTAGTTGCAGTTGCGGAAGCTGCCAGTTTCCTGCACGCCATTATTTCTGCGGTCCCTCTGAATCCTCATTCCGACGTGCAGCTCAGTTCAGCCCTCTCGAAGCCCCTCCCCGGCGCTGTCTCGTGCAGCAGTTTGTCCGCTGCGGATACTGCACCGGCAGCAGCCACGGGAACAAGGGACCCCTCGTACTTCGTGAACTGTTGTCCGTAGGGGCTCTCACGGAGTTAAGCGGATACCTCCTCGGCAATTTATTGACCTCCCTTGTCTTCCCTTTCTGTGTGTCCGATGCAAAGCCCTGTTGTTCTTTTCTCAGAAGCAGTAACAAATGCAGCAGCCGCAAGGGCAATACAAGCGCCTGTGAGTGCACTGTACTGTTGTGCCAGCAGCGCAACGGATTCGTTTTCATTGCAGACAGACTGAGAGCGCAGCGGCAGGGTCTGCTACTGCACATGCAGCGGTGCGAGCATACGAAGCAAAACCAACAGCAGCAGAATTTGACGCCTGCACTAGTAGTGTCCCAGCTGTCCCGCAGTGTCCGCTTTATGTTGTTTGCGGAGGTGTTCTGGGGAGGACGTCTCTACCACACAGAAGAAAAGGACGGATACAGCTGCAATTGCTGCAACAGTTGCTTCACTTGTGGGAAGCCAGCCCTGCAGAAGCTGCAGCAACTGTATGCAACGCCAGCTGTATGCACGAGCACTGTAGGAGTAGCCAGCGTCTGCAGCAGAAAACCTACTGAGGCAGAGACCGCGCGAAGGGCTGCTTCCTTCCCCGCAAGCCTGAACCGCCTACTCCTTGGCGGAACATTCTCTTCAATGCTGCAGCAGCTCCAGCAAGTGGCCAGCGCGGTGACAGGAGAGCAGATTCAGCAGCCAATAGCACAGCGGCAGCGTTTCGCTGCACTATTGCAGGCGCTGCAGATGGACGCTGCAAGCTTAGATGAACTTGTCGCTGCCCTGATGCTTTATGAGCTGCTTTTGCCCACCCTGCAACAGCAGCAGCAGCAGCAGGTGTTTCTGCTTCAGCGGTTGATGCGCCTTGTGGGCAATGATGGATGGCAGCAGCTGCGCCTCTGCCGCTTAGCCCTTCGACTCATCTCCGAAGGTGGGCGCTTCCCCGCAATTCGGTCGCTTCAGTTTCTAAGTAGCTGCTGGTGTGCGTGTGGGTGGCAAGACGAGTCTAAAGCTCCTCATGACCGACTCTCTTGACTGCGTCATTGGCTGCATGCGTCTTAGTGGCGATCCTTCTGATCGCCGCCCTGTGTTTTTCTCTGTCTTTCCGTCTCGTGCTCGCACCTTGCTGCCGTCTGCTGCGTGTTCAGGTTGTCTGTATGTGTCTGTAACTTGCATTGATCCCCGTATGTTTCTGTTCGTCTGTCTGACAGTTGTTGTGCAAAACCAATCGCTCGTACGCCACTTTTTCGTTCCTTGCGTACTTAATGCCAGTGCAGCGTGCCTGCTTAGCCCTTTCCCGTGGGATATAGGAAGCGTCTGCCCTCGTATTTGCAGTGCCGAAGACGCTTCTGGAATAAGGCATCCAGCAACGTTTAAAGTTTGCTTCTCGTGTGTCTCATGCTGCTTCTGTGGCTGCCGCAGCATCTCTTGGGAATATATGTAGGGTACTGCGCACATCGGCCCGGCTTCCCTTTCTGCTACAGGCTGCAGTATACAGGCATCTGGATGCGCTTCGGGCTGGTGCTATCGCCGCTGTGGTTGCTGCAGCACCTTTAGGGGGGCACAACGTGTCCCTGCAGCGTCTCGCCGCTCTCCTTGGCTGTTCTGTTAGCTCTGCTCTGCAATTGTGCCTTCAGCTTCCGCTTCAACGGCAGCTGCCCCAGCGGGAGCAGCAGCTAGGGCAAAAGGGGCAGGTAGCCACCCTACGCTTTTCTCGTTGTGGGGAGATTAACTATGTTTTTTGTAATCGCGTGGGCAATGCTTCGCCAGTGACTAGTGATCCACAGCTTCTGGATCTGCTGAAGTTCAGCAAGGCGCCTTATGGCGACGCCTGGCTGCGCACGCAGCCTCCAGAAGACACACTACAGGTAGCGCCCCACAATCGTACAGAGCTCCGGGAACTGATGCTGCACGGAAATTGCCAACAGTTACAAATACAAGAACTGCAATCGTGCCAATTGCAGCAACGCCGGCAGCCCGCACACCCACGTCCTGGGGAGGCATAAGCCATTGGCAAAAGACTATCATAGTTCGTGCAGTTCAGCCCAGTGCGAGTACACCACGCCCCATGCAGCAAGATATTGCTGTAGCAGCGGCCCTGCCTTTGCAGCGCAGCTGCACTCAAACCATTGAGGGCTTTTGGCTGGCTTTCAGCTACAGAGTGCTGCGGCCCCTTTGGGCTGCCCTTGAATTGCTGTCGAGGCTAGAGCTTCGTTTGGACTACCGCCGCTGCTGTTGCTGTTATTGCCGCCGTTTCTGCTGCTTGAACTACTGCAGCTTCCGGTGCTGTGCTTCAAAAGCTCGTCGGTCCAAACATGCTCTCCAGTTATAGGGTCTCGAGCAAGACGTGAAGGCTCCGTCTGAGACTGCGGCATCTGCATGAGCACGAGTCACAGACACGCAGTCCATGCTGCTGCTGCAGTTGCTGCATGTAGTGCTCAGAAGTATTTCGTGTTTCCGCAGCGGCAGCGACTGCTAGAGGCATTTAACGTTCAAACAGACCTGCGACACCGCCAACTGCTTGGGCATGTGGGACTTTTCGAGGTGAAGCGAAGGGTGGCGTATGGCATACATCTGCATCACCGTTCTCACACAGAAAAGCCGGAAATGTACAGGGATACAGAAAGGGGCAAGGGGTTGAAAAATAACGAAGAATGAAACGGAAACAGCGACAGTAACGGGGTGAACAAGTAGAAAACAGGACTGGCTGGAAAGAACACCAGAAGAGACGCCGAACCCTGCCGAAGTATGCACAAGGGGGAAAATACGGTGGCAAAATCGAAACACTGAGTCGAAGCCACAAAAACAAATGGGAACAACGGGATGGATACCGACCCGGTTATTGCCAGGCGCACTCCGCCAGGAAAAATTGCAACGAAGACGCATACATCCATATGTACAAATGCACAGGACACAACAAAACATGCCAACAAAGAAAGGAGACAGCACTGCAAGGGGGCCTGAACTCATCAAGGTGTAATGTTTTGGCGCTGATTGTTACCGTGTGCAAGGCGGACGGCAGGGGAGCCTCCAGCCCTTTGGGTATCCGTTCCCACTGGCAGCTAAGAGGGTTGTAGAAGGCCCTAACTAAGGTATCTCCCCGCGTATCTTGCGTGGTGACCCTGTCGTGAACCCTAAAGCAAGGACAAAGAACTTAATAGGGAGTCCGGCAATTGTTCAATTTACGGGGAGCAACAGCACGTGTGCGTGAGCCCACAGCCAAAGCTTGATGGGTGTTAAACTTACTTAACAGCTGAGATAACCGAAGTATACTTGTCCAAGGGTAGTGGTTGGGGACACTGGGATCGGGGCTAGCGGTTCATGGCGAAGGTTTAGGGTTTGTGTCGGCAATCCTTCTTACCCGTAACACTCCTCAGCCTCACGCGCCTTGGGGTAAGCCACTGAGAAATAGGCAATCGTGAGGAAGGCGCATAAGATGACGGGTGCCTGAAAGAGAGAAAATCCCTAATGCTAGACTTGGGCGCTGTTTCCTGAGAGTTAGCCGTGAAAATCGGCCAGAGTTAGATTCGATTAGGATTTGAGCTCCTTTGCAGACAAACTAACAAACAAAGCCAGGAGAACAAGCAGGCAGAGACAAGCAGAAGACAGGGACGAAGAAAAAGGCCAAGAAGAGTAAGAAGGTCGCAATTACTGACAAGAGCAGACGCAAATACAGAAAGGACAGGCCACTTGATGAAAGGAAACCAGGCCGAAGATCGGATCCAGACAAACACGAAAACGGGAACAGAAACAGGCGAAACACAGAAATTTGACAGGAGAGGAATAGTCTTTTCCGCGCTCTAACACCCAGAACTACCTCTAAGGCATATTAATGCACGACGGAATAGGGCAAGCAGCATCAACAAGGTCCTAGCGGTGCTTGACTACAAGATAAGTCTAAACGCACGACTCCTGGGGTATCGTCCACGGGAACGTCATTGCGTTGTTCTGCTGCGTATCTTTGGTATCTTTCCCTCCTAAGCGCTGCAGCAGAACAGAGACGCGAGTGAAAAGCAAGAAATCGAAACAACATGCGTAAACCGGCAATGCAATGCAACAAAGGAACGGCCGGTAGGCTGTCAAAATGTTACCGAGAAAAAGTCACACACAAGTGGGTCCAAACATATTTCTAGACACCTCTTGCGGCGACACAAGCTAAAGACCTCGCTTCCTAACAATCCAGGCATGCAACTCACTTCGCTGCTCCTCTGTCTCTTCCTCCCAGACCGCCTCACCCATAGCCCCTACGCCTCTGGTGCTGCAGCGCATTTCACGTTGCAGTGCTATTGTACATGGGCAGGGGTGCAAAGTAGCCAGCATGTCTTGCCCCGTCCCTGAGTGTCGATATGTGGCGATTACTCCCTCGTAGAAGCATCACTGTAGTAGGCAAACACATTTTTAAATTTTCATTTGTAACATTAAATGCTGCGATGAATAGCAGGAAGAAGAAGGTCTAGCCTTACCCTTCACATTGCCTGTCGTAATGGCTACGGGTAAACGGCTGGGAGAGAACATCATACGCCGCTCTTATCTCATTGAAGCGCATTGCTGCCTGAACACAAGCAACGCAAACCGTACGCCACAGGGATTAAGCGGCCGGCACAGGTGGCGAAAAAGTAAACACGCAAAACAAAAGGGGAAAGAAGGGACATGAAGAAATACGTACGTACGATGCATAGATACACGCACACATATGCATAAGAGGTGATCCTCATTTAACAAAGACCCAAACAGACGCTAGAAAGAAATCGAAGCTCAAAGATGGCAGGAAGAAGGGGATGGACGCGATAAATATACACGCACGGGCAAAAAACAACCGGCACATCGAGAAGAGTCAACAATGAGAGCATTATAAGGATTAACCAAAGCTCGGAAGGCAGATAAAAGGCAAATGCAAGACCAGAAACAGCCATACACACTATAAAACCCAAATGGACACAGGCAGAGGCGACGGTGAACAGAGGCAAATAGGCAGCGCGGCAAGGCTAATCGCATGGCGTTGTTAGACATCCAAAAGAAGAAAAAGATAGCAATTATAAATAGAGGAAACACAGAAACGGCAACAGTGAGTGCTGTCTCATTATTTTACGGGAACCGTTGTTGCAAGTCAACAACCGCAGCATCAGCGGCGGCACCAGCAGGAGCGCCAACAGCAATAACAAAGGGCAACGAACGGCACATGGAACGAAACAAAAGTAGGAGGATCGGCAGGAGCAGCATCGGCAGATAAGCCGTGGCTATCTAACATTAGGGTCGTCTCTGTTCCTGTCTGGATGTAATTTGAGGGCCAGTGCCACATAGGCCTGAAAGTTAAAAACCACAAAATACAGAAAATGCAGAAGTAGCAAACCAACACATACACGAACACGAAAAGAAGAAGCGTATGGCAGCGACACTGAGACACTGTCCTGCACAGCAGCGCGATCTCGTTTGACGAGCTCCTTGTTTTCTTTGTCTATCCGTTTGCCCGTAGTCGCACGCCTATTTATTGAAAGATTCGTGTTTTCCTGCCCTGTTTAATCTTCTTTTAGCTGCCTTGCCATTATGCTGCATTCAGGTGTATCTGTCTGCTTCTCTGCGTGCTTGTCTAAACCCGTCTGTCTGTTCCCGCGTCAAATTCGTGTCTCTCAGCCTTCAACGCTTTGGTGTCTCTTCTTGCCTGTCGAATTTCCGCCTGAGTTGCATTTGGTTTTACCCCTAGAGTTTCGTAGTGAGACCCACCACCGGTGGCTGTGGTCGCAGTGGCGCTGCTGCTGCTGCTACTGCTGTAGGCCCTGAAGACGGAGCAAGACGCACCGACCACAAAGAGCCGACGCGCGGAGCATGCCGAAAACCACCACACGCCTTCCCTCCTACATAGACTACTGGACATGGTTAAGTCGGAGGTGCTCCCGCCTTCGCTTCCACCGCCGCCGATGACGTTGCTGTTGCTACTGCGCCTGTAGCTGAGGGCGTGATGGCTGCCGATGCCAGTACTGTAATTGCTGCTAGAAAGACTCCAGTTATAGCCCTTATCGAAGCCCCTTCTTCCGATCCTGCTGTGGATATTTCTGTCACAGCCGCTACTGCAGTAGCATCGCACGTGGCGGTGAAAGTCTGAACCTAAGTCTTGAATCCCACCATTCCGTGGCTTACGTAGCCTCTGCCTTGCTGCTTCCTTCACTTTTAAGGTCGAAACTGCTGCTGCAATCGTTGCTGAAGTGCACGCCACAGCACGGGGGGAACTGCTGGCAACCAACACACGAATGTTCCACTCGTTGCATCCTCCAGCAACTGCTGCGGGAAAGGAGGGCCAATTCCGCAGCAGCGGCCGGCAGCCGTCTACAAGCAACATAAGACGGGCGTGACAAATGATGGAGCTGCCTCCTTTTGGCTGTTGGCGCTCCAGCCGTCACTGATGACGCAGCTACTACCCGTGCCACAACCTGCGCGGATATTGCAACTGTTACAATCGCCGCCTCTTGTGTTGTTGCCGTTGCTGTTACTGCTGCAACTGTGGCCCCGGCTACTGCTTTTTTAGCTGCTCCGGCTGCCTTTGCTGTTTTGCTGTCGTTGCATTCGTTGCTGCTGACGCGGCAGCAGCTTGTTGCTGCGTCAGTGTCGAGTGGCTTTGGGGAGGCCCTGTGCAAGGGGAGCTGCCGCGGCCCATTAAAAATAACGTAAAGAAGAAAACGGTCAGGTGGGGATCTAAACGGCAATAATGGAAGGGTGCAACCCAACCCTTTATGTCTTGGCGAACCCCAGAGAATGCCAGGTGCTCATTTGGGTCTTACTACCTGCCACAGCAATTGCTTGATGCCCTTATCTTCATATCCAATTATTTTACTTTAGCCCTGTCATTAAAATTTAATTAATTTACCTCTAGGGATATAGAAAACCGTATAGAGGGAAGCTCCCGTTAGTCTCATGGGGCCCCAAGTGGCGGCGAACTGTTCGGACACGTCATACTCCGGCACAAGAATAAGTTATCGGCTTCGCATACAGTTTTTATTTGGCGTTTCCATGCTTTTGCTTTAATCAAGTGATGAGTAGGGCCCCAGGGGAACGTGTAAGGGACTAAGGTCACTTCGACTGCTCTAGGAGGCCCATTGCTTGTGGATTACACCCCTTCCCTGTACAATGGACTACAGCGGTGATTCTCTCATTAGTACAACTCACCCAGACTTTTAGATTAAGGAGCAGCCTCAGTTGTTATGTTTAGGGACCCGCCGACGGTAATCAGAGGTTCATTCAGTGTCAAGGGAAAGCTCTTGAATTCTCTCACTACGCTGCACGCGGACTCAGCGTACTCTGATTTTTACTACTCTATGGCGAAGCGCACAACGTCTTCAACACTGAATGAACCTATGTATACTATGACACGGATTCCGAAAGCGCACGCCCTCAACACTGAATGAGCCTCTGTATACTATGACGCAGTTTCTGAAGACAACAAATGGGGCTACTTCTAGTTCAGAAGAGCTAGGTAGCAAAAGGCCCACACGGGCAGCACAAGCTCTTCTGTCAGAAATTTAGGTGTCCCTCTGAGGTACATAATGCAGTGTTGTCCCCCTTTATTTCCGTGCTATTTCATCTCTGGAGCCGTACTAGCCTCTTATATTTGTTGATGTTCCGGTGAACCCTCCTTTCGTTTGTTCGTCAATCTGGCCCATCTACCTGCCTGCTCACCTTTTCGTTCACTTCTCTCCTTATCGTAATATCATGTAGCCTTATTTGCCCCTGGACTCACCAGGCCATACAGCCCCATGGTGAGTTAACTATCTCGTTTTACTCAGCCAGTCTGTTTGTGCCTTTCTCCCATGTTGGCCCTGCTCTCTGCCCCGTCATCAAACTACAAAATGTCATAGAAGCCAATAATATGGCACAGTAAAAAAAAATAAACCGCCCGCAACCAAACGAGACGGCGCATCCAGATCTAGCCCGGCCCTCGGAGGCAGGGGCCCCTCCAGCACGGTTTTGTGCTGAGGGTCCTTTTACGCCAGTGCTCTTGGGTCTATTGTCTTGTGATTTTGTGGGCCACCTCAAGCTATTCCCAGTAAGTGCTAGCAAAGAGAGTACGGGGCTTTTCGGGAGCGTGCTTTACCAGAGACACTCTTGCTGCTCGGCATGCGCCGCGCGGGTGTTAGCGGCCACAGAAGAGGAAATTGATTCGTATTTCAAGTTCACTGATAATGCTAAGAAGAGCCTGCATCTGCTGGTTAGTATTTGTGACGGTTGCTGCTGCTGCTGCTGCTCCCAACAGCAAATCCAAACTGTCCAATACGGCAGATTGCTGTAAGGTCTCCAAGCGGCGGAAAGGCACACAAGCCAGGGCTGCGCCTGCACATACAGTAAAAATGTAATGACCTACACTGTGTGTGCCGGACAGCTGTCACGGCAGCAGGCGCTCACAGCATGAAACCTTTCGGGGGAGTGTTTTATATTTCAGGCTTGAGAGCTTCGCACTCGTCATTTCTCTTAAAGGGTGTTAGCAGAGGATGTATGCTGATTTCTCCGGTCTTAGAGCTTAGGGCCAACAGATGGACTACAGATTAGGGCTAGGGGATTGCGTCCGGTCGTACATGTGGCGGAGCAGGACAGGACAAGAGGCAGGTTTGCCTCGCCTATGACGCAAGGACTCTCGGAATGTCTGTCGAGTGCAATAACTCTCAAATCAGCGAAAACAGCGGAAGAGGCTACATCATTCGGCAGCCCAAATTTACCAACAAAGTGACCAGGCCGACACGTAAAAGGCCGCAGCCTATACGTGCTGGGGTTGCAGCCTTGCAACGGCACAGGCGGTCCCCTGCGACAAAGGCAGAGGCACAGCCAGACACAAACGGATGGAATAGGAGCCCACACATACGTGAAAAGACATCACACGCGGCGCAGAAAGAAAACGGGCGCCAATGGGGGCAAATGTTCAAGGCAGCTACAAGCAGCATGAGTCAGACACACAAAGGGCTGAAAGAGAAAAAGACAAAGTTAACCAGTAGCACAATTTCGAGATATAAGGGGAAAATAACTGCAACTGACAGATTCTGCGATCCTTACGAGGCAGCCTACAAGAGGAAAAAGGCACGCAACCTCAGTCATGCCAGTGCAACGTACTGTCCGGGGGTGAAACAGGGGCCGCCGCAGTCACTTCGCCGCACCGCTGCTTGTGGATCAGCAGCAGAACTGCTGCTATTGAGCTCGTAGAAAGTGGGAGATGCTGTGGGCGTGGGTGTGTAGATTCCGCCCACGGCGCGGCTGCTGCACTGACCTGTGAGATTGAAACAGCCCGTTGGAGCTATAGCTGGATTCCTGTAACTATGCAGGTTTAAGGCCAACGGGGTAATGCTTCCGTTGCATGCGCGACCGAAGGCAGACTCGACGGGCGACAGAGAGACCGACAAACGTGCCAAAAACGCGGAAGGAAAGAGGCCTACCACACCGTTAAAGGCGCGTAAGGAGGGGGACGCCACCGCGATGCAGCCTGAGAAAAAAAATGAATTCACATTCAAATATATTCACTTTGAGCAGTAGCAGCACAACTCTGGAAGGGCTGCTGCTGCCGTCCCTACAACTGCAGCTGCCTCATTCTCTAGTGCATGCATATCAACACATACAAAAACTGAAGGACAGTGGTGCAGCGTTTCCTGGGGATCAACCTGTTACTGTAAATTCAAAAGTGCCAGCCTTTTTGCTTGTCTGAGGCTCACCTAGCTCTCTAAACTTTTGCTCGTCGTAGTGAAGCGGCAGTTGAGTACGGAGTTGCTTCACTTTGGCTGAGGCACAAAGAGCAAATTCAGACAACAGCTACTCTGTACCTGCTGCATTGAAACAACGCCACAGATAAATGACAAGCATACAGTGACGTAGAGCCTGACACAGGTAAAGAAAGATTGCCCTGGCAGAAAGCACGGAAGAAACTCCAAAAGAGAAGCCGAGTAAATTGAAGCATATGAGCAGGCACTGCTGTTTGATTCTGCAGCTTCATTCGCCTCCAAGCTCCATCCACACTTGAGCTGAAGTGACGGCCACCAACGGTCGCGTTTGGACCATATTAAGCACGTTCAAGTCGAGAAAAATTATATGTTGCTTACCTTCTAGGCTAGACAGGAGGGTTTCGATTGCTGTCTTTAGCCGTTGCTGTGAATGTGAAACGGGCTTATCAGCTTCTTCTACCTTGACCGGAAAATGCCTGGCTAATGTGTTCTCCTCCCGAGCTAAGGGGACCTCCAGCTCTAATGCCACTGCGCTTGTGATATCACTGACACAGGGAGGGGCGGAACAGCCTGCTTTTGGTGCTGTAGGCTGCGTGTTGGATTTGTTTGATGCGACAGCAGCTGTCACAGCGTGAACATCTGGGAAAGAGCTCGTAAACTCGGACAATGCAGTTTGAGAAGCGCTTGAAAAAAACGGCTGGGGGAAAAGAAGCAACACTGAAGCCAAAAGTGACAAAGAAGGAAGCAATTCCATTTCTGCTGTACTTGAAATTTTACAGTGATGTGGGGACACGGTAGAGACAAAGAGGGGAAAAAGTAAAAACAAGAGACAAGCAGCATACATAAAAAGTGTTCCAAGTGACGCCACTGTCCCTGCCGCTAAAATTGGCGTGAGCTTTTCCACCACCACAGGTGACCCTGATGTCAACTGTGGGGCGCTGCTGCCCAGGGGAATGCTGTACGCGGGCGAACTTCAATCAGAACCCCAGATATATTTCTACAATGGCGGAAAATGTTTTAGGTTAAAACTCGATGGTTTGGACAATTTATTGAGGTGGCCGATCACGAAGATGGGCGAAGGGCAGGAGAAGCGTAGGCAGCACTGAGCACACCTCTGCATCGTACCAGTCCGGTCCAGGGATGGACGAAGACCAAACTCTACGCGAAGAACTTCCGTTGATTATTCGGCTCAACAACTTCGCAAATTGTTCCTTTTGGATGGCATTTCAACTACTTTATACTAAACGAAGTTTCCATTTGAAGAATTGTGATTGGCCACAGAGGCGTTATTCGGCGGCACATGGCACCTCGCTTTGCTTTTGCTTTCTCTTCTATTGAGTGCTTGCACTGGATGAAATGTGACTCTCTGATCTTGCTCATGAAGTGTAAATTCTGGATTTCCAAAGTCCTGCCGTGTATTCCGGTCTTACGCACGGGGAACTTGGATGTGCTTGCTCACTTTTTGTAGCTCCTGGAAATCTGCGTATTGTGCTCCTTCGAATTCCTAGTAATCTACAGATAATGTGTTACAGCATCGTTCTTGGCAGCCTTTGCGCTGAAACAAGTGGTCAATTTGAGGCACAGGCACGTTGTAAATGCTGGAGTACTGGCATCCGCGTTTCCGGAGAGTGGTCCCACCGACCATTGGGAAGAGCAAGGTTTAAATCTGTTATGCTTTTCTACCCGTACGTTTAGACTTGCCAGAATTTGGTTTTATGACTACGCTCCCAAAATTGTGATATGAAGTCCACAAGTCCGCACTCTTGCACGCTGCCACTCACGCTATGTGCGGAAGCAAACGTAACCTCAGGCAGTGAACTAAGGAGTCGAAATTCTAAACTATAGACCCGAAGTTATAAAGCGCAATCAAGTAGTATGACAAAATAAACAATGCAAAACGAAAAAGTTCCCGCCCAAGCACAATGAGACTCTCCGGTTCTTCTCATTCCACTTGGGCTTCCTGCCCCTAGATTGCTGGAACAGCGAAAACTCCAATGGTTCGTTCCTGCAAGGGTTTACTAGCCTCGCATTGCTCTTTTTAGGCTCTGATTCCCTTGCTGCAGGTGTCATCGAGGTCTGGGGTGCCTCAAAAAATGCTGAGGGGCAGCAGCATCGCGCAACACAGCGGTCGAGGCATTCTGAGCCTACGTATCTGCTGCAGGCCACGCAAAAGTCAGTTAAATTCAGTGCGGGAGCTACGAAGCCGCCCGCCGGCCCCGTCAAAGCCGCTGCCTCCATACCAAAGAGCGTGTATCACTGATGTCATAGTACGTGCGCGGCTCGGGCTCCCAGGGCCTCCTACGCCTCCTACGCGGGGGTGGAGTCGGGCCAGGAGGCTGTGGTGCAGGGTTAGGGTCGGTGGGGGGCCTTGGATTTGGCTGCGGAGTAGGGGTAGGAGGCTTGGGGATGGGCGACGGTTCCGGAGGGGGCGCCGGCGCTGGGGGAGGAGGGATGGGTCGGCGTCTCCTGCGAGGTGGCATCCCAGGGGGCCTTACAGGGTCTGGCATGGTGGGAGGTCCCGGAATTGCTTTATGAGTGGTGGTAGTCACACTGGTGGTGGTGGTAATTACAGGGGTGGTCGTAGTGGTAATAGTTGGAAACGTGGTCGTGGTTGTAGTAGTGGTTGTCGTGGTAGTTGTAGTCGTGGTGGTTGTGGTGGTGGTCGTCGTGGAAGTTGTGGGCGTGGGGGTGGGTTGTGGAGTAGTTGTTGTGGTACCGGGGCTTGTGGTGGCTGCGCACGTAGTAGTGGTGGTTCGAGGAGGGGGTGGAAGTGGTACTGGCGGCTTAGGAAGAGGAGAACCCGTGGCTAAAGCTTCAAGAAACTTAATTCTTGACTCTAGCTCTACTGCCACCTTCAATGCCCCCATCATCTCTTGCACTGTGGGGCTATTTGGCAGGGCCGTCGTTATCTCTAAGACCAGTTCTTGTAGCGTGGGCACCACGAGCTGAGGATCAGTGCCGAGGACCTGCAGCGGTGCGCAGGCGAGCCTGCGGCCTGTAAAAGAAGGAAAGCACAGCTACGAATAAACTCAGTAGTCGAACAAACGTGCTGAAAACCTACATAGGGGACATGCGTATGTGTTGCACTTGCAAACGTAATTGAGAACTCTAAGAAAAGCAATGAAAAGTAATGTGACAACTGTGCAGCTTGCGTAATCACTTGGGGCAGCTTTTGCAAATGCCATCGATGCAGGGGAATGTGCTTTGGCATCTGTTTGTTGCTGCTACTGACCACTGGCGTGACAGCTTATCACAACTGGAAGTGAATGTTCGCCAATACTACAAGGATTGTCTGCCGTCTCGTCCGAGGCCACCTGGCGCAAGTCTACCAATAAGGGAGAGGGTGAGACATCTGTCCCGGGGCCAAATTTTCCTGTCAGGTCCCCAGCATGGCAGGAGAAGGGGAGAGCGTTGTACTGGGTGCTACTGCATGAATATGCCGCCCCTTGTTTTCTTTTCCCTGTTTCCTTGCTGCGTCAACACGAGCAAGAAAGCAGTTTGCCACATGCTTCACATGTCACTGGAGTCCTTATATATAAGGCAAAGCAAAAGTAGACAAATTACGTTTTGGGAATTTGAAAGTTTACTCGAAGGGGGGAATGGATAGAGCTTCGCAGAGCTCCGCGCCGTCGGGGCCGCAGGCCAGACCGGGGTCATGCCTGCCTCCGACCTTCTCTTTGTTGCATTGGCCATTATTGTTGAAAGAACCTTCGTGTGACAAACTTGTGTTGCTCTTTTCGTGCACCGACAGACCGATTGGGGTGACGCAAGGAGTCTGCAAGACTTGCTGAAAGAGGGGGGAGAGGTGAGGCACAGACAAAGTCAGACGGGCCAGGAAAGAAGACGGAAAGAGAGCCACAATTCCTTTCATTCCATCCAGATTAAATTTAGCATACGCTATGCAGCCTGAAGTCAAACCAACGCAGGTGTGCATAGCTCCATAAAGAGGCAGAGGTAAGCGTATATTGTTTCCATTATTAGCGTTGCGGGCACTTGCCGTCCCTTCAGGTTAAGTTGAGAAGAAAATCACCTTGTTTCTTGAACTCTTCATAATCAATATTAAGCTTTTCGTCCTGGAGCTTTAGAAGTCTCCCTAGGCGAAACAGCACAGGCAAAGGCAAATAATACAATATGCAATTATGTAGGCATCACCACGCAGGATACCCTGAAAGTCAATGCAGCTCCCCAAACTCTTGGAAGTAAGAGCACAACTTTTTGGTTTTCACCTGCTAGTCCGTTGAGGCAACCTCTAAGGAAGCGTACAATGGGGTCCACCCCGCTGTTGGCTTGCATATGAAACTCTCCGCGGGCACTAGGGTTCATGGTACTAATGAATTCCATGAGTCTTCTGACGTTGGCCGCAGATGTTAGATGGTCTTCCTTTTCGTTTGTTGACGACTCCTCGGAGCTGAGAGATATCTCCAACTTGTCCATCTGTGGTTGTGGCAGTAGGCTCGAAAACGCCACTGCTGCTCCATTATCAGAGCCAAGAAGTAGCTCATGAAGGCTATCTTGATCACTCAAAAAACAGGAAGAAAGGCAGAAGAGAGAAAAATGCAGCAACACGGCCAAAATCATTGCAGTACCACCCCCTCTCAGTGTAGAGCACTGCCGACAGCGCTCACTGCCCGGGAGCGTCATAATTGGGGAGAATAAATCAACAGTCAGGAAGAATACAATGCCAGCTCATTAGTCTAAAAATAGCAGTCTGGAGTCAAAAAGAAAATCCAAAGAACTCATGAACTGTCAGAACCGAGGGGGGTTGACAGCACTTGTCAGGTCTTGCGAATGTGTGAGACAAAGTGGCCCGACTGGCATGCTGCCTCTGTCAACAATTTCCTCCTCGTTACCTGACTACCTCAGTTAGAAAAAGGAAGAAAACCAGTGTGTGCTGACCGCTGGGGCCCAAACGTAAATCAGAACTGATGCACGCCCTGCGGCAGCATGTGGGTGACAGGCGCCTGACCACTGGCGCCGCCGTAGTGCTCGGTGCACCCTGTGCTTGAAATCTTAGCCGAAAATTAGACTGTCTGTATATTTTCATATTTTTTAAGTGCATTATGGGTAATTTCAGTGTCTGCCTTCCCAAACACTACTGACTTGCTCATTAGTAAGAAGACCCCTCAGAATACAGCTCTACAGAGCTTGTCACTGGGATTAGATCCCAGAGGTCGTGCTGTGACAACAACACAAAAGCAAGCACAGGAATAATTAAAATAGCTGATAGCATGCAGGTTCTCAAAATTTCCCCCCAACTCCCAAAGTGTGGCCCGCTGCGACCTCTTTGCAGTTTGTTGTGGCTGACGAACTAGTGACACAAGAAGAATGTGTGTCCGTTTGCAACAACGAATTTGTGCTTTACTGAGCCAGTACAAGCTTCAATTTTTGTCACAAAAACCAAGCCTATTCATACAAAGCTGGTGAACCGAACAACTGTCCTTGCGGAAGGAGAGAAGCAAAGACACAGAACAGAAGAGGACTGGGTTCCCGCAAAAGGTGCGAGTTTAGTGTGACTACAACTAGGTAAAAATGAATATTTCCAATGCTTTGCTATTTTCAAGCTCTCGTGGTGGTGGAGTTAGGCAAAGCTGATAAGCGACGGGCGTCTTCTTAACGATTAATCTGCATTGATTCTGATGTCTTTAGGAGTTCCGGCAAGTTGCACAAAATATCACTTCTGCCCAGCAATTTTAACACAGACAGAGGCAGCCAAAAACAATCAAGCTGGCACTTAAGAAAAAGCCTTTCCGCGGTGGCTGTTTATCTTCCAAGGCTGCAATGGTATCACGCTGTGATTCAACTATGTATATGTGCACGCTGATGTCAAGTGAGACACGCACTGGCGTTTGCTATACAAGAACAAAAATAGGCCCACATTTTCTCCGTCTTTGGATACGGGAGATTCATGTGGGACATTATTCAGACGTTTTTGGTCAAAGTTTTGCCTCAGTGTTGGCTGTTTGGTGCTCCCTTGCCGTGTACGGACTGTTGGCACGTTCTGGTGAATAGCCCACCTAGCAAGAATAAACTTGGCTTGTTTTGCGGCTTTGAACAAATATAAAGCACTTTTACCTTTGTAAGTGAATAGTCTACCCAACGGAAAGGCCCTTGTCCTAAACTCCCGCAACTAGCAGATAGTTGCGCCAGGTGTGTTCCTCTATTTAGAGCGCAGAACGACCAAAAGCTGTTAAATCAAATGCGTAAACTTTATGCTGAGTAGAGTTCACAAGGCGGGTTGTTTTCCTTTGACTAGTAAAGATAGTTTCTTGCTCAGCTTCTAAACCCATGACATGGCACAGCATTGTAGATGTGCTACCGGTTGAACATAGTCCCCTTATCACACCCAGAAGTATGAAGTTGCGACGATATAGGCAATTTGTGTTAGGAGTCACGGGCTGAGTCATGGAGGTATAACTTGCGACCAGCTCTTGTTCAAAGTTCGCTACATACGCGTGTTGTCACCATCACTTTGGCTCTTGGGCAGCACGAAGGTTACCATTTGTTTTCGTGTCTCCTTGCATAAAAATTATTATTAGAAAATATGCAGGGTGGCAGTAATTTGCCTTGATGAACCAGCCCATACTGACTTGCACAACCCGCGTTCGGCTGGCTTTCCGCAGCCCAGTGGGCAGAATTACTCTCGCCGTGACTTTACGCTGGCACAAAACCTCATCAATATCCACAACTCATTATTTTTTTATCTTGTCTGTTTTTTTTCAATAGCTTTTGGTCAGAAGCCTTGAACCGCTGATTACCTGCATCAACGCAGTCGCCGGCAGCGTGGTAGAGAGAGTGACCACTGGTGCACTTGTTGACAGCATGGCAGTCTATGCAGGAATTCGCTTTGTCTTGGCTCGAAATCTCATATTACTTACCTTTTGTACACTCGCCACGGCAACTGAATTCCGCAGGCTCGGCTCCGCCGGCTCAGTTGAAACCAATGAAGCACAACCTCCTACCAAAATAGAACCCCACCTCCCAGAAACGTCCTCAGATGCCGCCTTGTACTCCATAATAGCTGCTTCTGAGGATGAAGAACAATATGAGACACAGCAGAACTACCCTCCAGGCTGTTTCGTCAACGGTCAAAACCGCTGCCGAGACGCGCCTATAACTGGCGTTCGGGATTACTTACGGTCCTTAGCGTGTAAGTTTTCAAAATAATTATCCTTAATTTCTGTGCTTCCAGATAAATACATTGCATTTCCTATATGCGGCGTCCAAGTGTTTGTTTTAGTTTCAGCGCCGCATCTGGCCCCTCCGCTGGCAGTTTCATTTTTTTCGAATTGGCTCCTGTTTGCTTGTCACTTCAGTGAGGCTCTCAGCTGTTAGCAGCGTCGGGATTGATTACAATGACCGCCGCTTAGTGGACGCACTCGATAAATTGGGTAGGTTGGGAGCTACGTGGCGCATAGTTCGTGCAGACCTGACAAACGAGCAAACCCGGCAAACCCAGCAACACCAATTCCATCGGATTCACCGTTTACAACTTTGCTACAATATGAGGGCATTTTGTGTCACTCCGTTGTTTGCAGGGTGTATGAATGTGGCAGTGATAGATCTGGACGAGGTGCAAGTCACTGTGGGTTTGGTACGCCAAATGATGCTGTCCCGCGTGCGCATAGACAAGCAGCAGCTCCACGATTTCAGCAGCAAGTGCAACAATCAGCTGCTGCCGCTGTCATTCCATCAGCATGAACGTGCAGTAGACTTGATGAGTAGAGGTCACCTTAACATCGATAAGTCATGCGAGGCAGAGAGGACTGGAGGCCACCACGACCCAGGCTTTGCTTGCGGGCCCACAGGGGCCTCCGCCTGCAAGAACTTGAACATCCCCGGTTCTTCGTGAGAACTCCCCTTCGCCTTCACTCATTTGTGGAATTTGTACATTTTTTCGCTTAAAGGAGGCGAGTAAAACTTGACGGCACATTGCGTCGACGCTTGTGCTTTTCCTGCAGAGCCCTAGAGGGTACTTCCCTCTTTACGGGGCAGTACAACTGCAACCCTTCAATCTACGCTCACAGGCCCTTCGCTTGCCACGCGGGTGACCTTAGCGGCAAGTTGGGGAGTGGGACAAATGTGTCGACTGACTCCAACAGGCCGGACCTTCGCCTTATTGCCTTCGACAGCCACGCTGACAACTCTTGTGTCGCCTCCGAAAAAAAGCAGTCCCTAGTTCTTCATTGCCAGTCAACAAGTGAGAGCCGGACGTAAAATATAACCACCGCCGAGCAGCAGCACAAGCTGCAGCAGCCGTCACGCTTTGTTGTGCTTCTGTTGCCTTCTGCCGAATGTGTTCGTACCAGCTGGCTGCTAACTCCGTAAGCTGCGGAGCCACCACATCAGCTACCACACCAGCTAAACCCACCAGTTTGAAGGTAGTTGTTTTGTTTTCCTCATGTCAATTTCCACCAATTGCTTGAGCAGACTACAGAATAGCCTGTGCGCCGTTCCAGCGAGTGGAAACAGCGGGGAGGCGCATGGTGACTTTGTTACGGGAGGTGATAAAAGCGGCTGTGTTGGCGATCCCCCACTCTACTGAGCATAGGTCCGTATTCGCGTCGCTGGTGCTTCTTAACGAGTTGGAGAAGAGAATTGCCATACTAGAAAAAGCAGCGAACATCAGAAGGCCCAATCAAGGGCCCAACCCCTTTCCGCCCGCAGATACAGACGAAAGTGAACATCTCGCGCGGATGGTCGACTAGCTCTTGTCAGTGCACTCGCAGCTCCATGTACGCTTGCGAGCTAACGCACTCATGGGCCCTGGCTAGGAACTTATTTGTGAAACTGTCATTGGCCTACAACCGCAAACAATAGTGGGGTCAACTCCTTGCTTCTACAGTACAAATTATGCTTGCATCTCCCTTTTCCGCATATGCTGTCTGTTGTTGTTGTTTTGCTACTACTATTGCCACAAGGGACTTGAGGAGTATTCGTGACACTTGATGCCAGCTGAGTGCATGGCATGTTAACTGATTAAGGCATACAAGTGCGTTCTGCAGAGTCCGCGTACAATCACAAACAGGCGGATGCGCATACGTGCGAAGTTCTGTTGGTAGACCTAAGTGTCGAGACACCAATAGATGCAGCGAGGAAAAATTGGGCTAAGCCAAGGCTGGCTCATGAGCGTCCTCCTTGCTACACAACAACACCTTTGCCCCTCCGCTTCGATTTCAACTGGCCTGTAGCGTGGGTGGCGAGTTGAGCGTAGGTTCGCAACACGTGCGGCAATGGCTGCCACCCATTCCACCAGTCGTTAGTTCTTGGCAGGATTCTGGCCAGCTGACCATTTGCAATCAAGTCATACGAAGTTCCTTTACCTCGCTAGCCATTTGTTGTGAACAGTGGCGGAGGCTGGGCTTTTCGGCTCCTGTGCGGAGAGCCCTGTGCAAGAAAATGCCTTACAAGTGGCCGTGGATGTTGATTTCCTGTTCGCGTTTGTAGGCCATGTTTCAGGTGCCCGTGCTTATAGGTATGTTGAGCCCACGTACACATGCCTGTGCATGCGTCTCCCTCATCGCCGCGTGTTCTCAGGCCAAACAGAGGTGACAGTGTCTCATCTCAGCTATGCCCCACCGCCCATCCACGTAAGACGTTCTAACGCTTGTACGTCTAACTACGTTCCTGTCATTACCATTAGC